TGCAGCTCCCTATGATCGTCATGATGGTGATGATGATGATGATGATGATGATGATGATGATGATGATGATGGCAGGAGGGAGGGGGCAGTATGGGGCCACGAAACGTGTAAGGGCTGTGCCGAAATCTGTGCGGCGGGCGCATGGGAGCGCAGCCACTGGGGCCTTCGCTGGAGCTCCCCATGGGACCACGAAACGTGTGATGGGTGTGCCGACATGGGTGCGGCGGGCGCATGGGAGCGCAGCCACTGGGGCCTTCGCTGGAGCTCCCTATGGGGCCACGAAACGTGTGAGGGGTGTGCCGAAATGGGTGCGGTGGGCGCATGGGAGCGCAGCCACTGGGGCCTTCGCTGGAGCTCCCTATGGGGCCACGAAACGTGTGAGGGGGTGTGCCGAAATGGGTGCGGTGGGCGCATGGGAGCGCAGCCACTGGGGCCTTCGCTGGAGCTCCCTATGGGGCCACGAAACGTGTGAGGGGTGTGCCGAAATGGGTGCGGTGGGCGCATGGGAGCGCAGCCAAATTGGGGCCACGAAACGTGTGAGGGGTGTGCCGAATGGTGCGGTGGGCGCATGGGAGCGCAGCCACTGGGGCCTTCGGTGGAGCTCCCTATGGGGCCACGAAACGTGTGAGGGGTGTGCCGAAGGAGCGCAGCCACTGGGGCCTTCGCTGGAGCTCCCTATGATCGTCATGATGGTGATGATGATGATGATGATGATTATGGCAGGAGGGAGGGGGCAGCGGGAGGAGGAGGAGTGAACGCGGGGCGCTGTCTCTTCAAAACGAGGACCCAACACCACAGGATGGTTGGAAGAAGAGGGAAAGAACATATTGAAAAATTATTGTTTTATTTTTATATATATATATATATATATATATATATATATATATATAATTATTTTTTTTTTTTTTAAAAAAAAAAAAAAAAAAAAAAAAAAAAAAAAAAAAAAAAAAAAAAAAAAAAAAAAAAAAAAAAAAAAAAAAAAAAAAAAAAAAAACGTGCAAAGATGCGCGAGAACACGGGCGTGGCCAGCAGGATTTCGGCTGCGTTTCTGTCTGACTTACACTCGGGGGCATCATTTTTTGCCTGGGCCTCCTCAACGGCGGGCATGGACGCCCAGCTCAGCAATTGCACGTCGGCAGGCAGGGCTGGAGGCACGTCGTCTCGCGCGTTGAGGTCGCCCACCCAGTCGAGCCCCACCGCTTGCCCCAAAGGGGGGCGCACTGCCCACTCCCGCCCACCGACGTTGCGTTCACTGCGGTGGCGCCGTGGAAGATGCCGAGGCCACCGGCGCTGCCGGCGCGGCCGCAACTCCAGGAGCCGCCGCGGCCAGCGCCGCCTCCCCCGAGGCCGCCGCGCGGGACGGCGACGCAAGCGCGGGCCCGCCGGCCTCGCCGAGTCTCGCGCGCGGCCCGTGAGCCCTGCCGTCTCCGGTCGCAATCGCAGTAGTCCGGCGCTGAGAAGATCGGGGCGGGCGACGACGAAGACGTCGCGATGGCCCTGAGTCTCATCGAAAACGCCCTCGGGCGTCCTCGGCGCCAGCGCCTGGCTTTTAAGCATTGCAAACAGCGCCTCGATTCGCCGCGCTGACCAAAGCCCGGCAGCGCACGCAGCACCGATGCAGGGCCAGGCGGGAGCGCGAAGCAAACCATGCGCCCCGTCGCCCCAGCGGCCCCAGATACTTCGCGACACGCCAGGGCCTCCCAGAAAGCCTCATCGACACCCATGGACGCGATAATCCAAGACTTCTTGCACGCGGCCGCGCTTGCGAGCAGTCTGCGACCCGCCCGCCTGGCTGCACCTGAAAAGGCCCCCACGTCGACGGTGTCGACATCCATGAATCCGCGAAGTACTTGGCGTAGTCTGATGGTGCGTCCCATATCGCCCTTACCGTTCTTCGCGGATTCCCATGCGCCCCCATATCTTGATGTCATGATGCTCATCGCGCCTCCGACCCCCTGCATCTGACAGCAGTCACTGTCGAACCGCATTTTCAGTTCAGCGCACAAAGATTTGGCTATCTCGACAGGGGTTGTCTGCATTTCGGCCCACGCTAGGAGGTCGTATTGCTTGACAGAATCAGCTCGTTTTGACGCGGCTTACACATATACACTCATAGTGGCTATAATATGGCCATCGTGGAATATTTTGCGCCGCTGCTCTGCCAAGACAACTTCGGACATATCAACAGTGAAAACATAGCTCTACATGCGAACCGTGATCGTCCGAATCCAGTCCGTAGGTCTCGTCGCATTCGGTGGTAAAGGGGGCGAAGTACGTCTCCTCTGCCAAATCCATCTCTGACTCCTCGTTGATAGCCGGGAGTCGTCCGTTGTTAGAAGCACGAGCACCGGATCGCCCTTCCTCCTGAGCGTGACCGCTCGATGGTGTCGATCCCGCCAGTTCCTCAAACTTCGATAGGTCTTCATCGAAGCCGACTGAGGGCTCTGAAGACTTGAAGCGTTGGATGATACGTACGAGCCTGGACCCGGCGACGTCATGGATATTCAGGGCTGTACCTCCGGATTAGTAGTAGTGGAGTCACGGTGGCACGTCGCTGTCATCATATAGTAGTGTACAACTGTCAGCATAAGGTGGTCAGTGGATGCTCTGAACCAAGCGGATGCTACTACATTCTCGATCCAGGAAGTAGTCCCTGATAAGAAAGAGCCAGGCTAACTGTAACTTCGACGAGTCTATCTACTCACCGTGGCCATTTGCAGGTGACCCTGCTTAGTTGGCAGATAGCCAAACACCATTCCAGGTTAGGTTTCTCCGCCGGCAGGCTCGCGATAAAGGCCAGCACGGTTCGCATGGCTGCTGTGCCGGAGCCAATCTCGAGGACAATGAGTATCTCCTGTGTGACGCAAGTCTGGATACTGTACTAAACTTTCTCGGCCGCCGACCTGTACTACTGCCTGACCTGGGCCAAGGAAATTGCGTGCGATTGGGCATGGTCCATTTCATTATTCCCATTCACCCTTTGTGGTGCTCGGTCAGTAATAGTCAACGAGATCACCTGGTTGATAGTTGCATTGTCCACCTGATGTCGCTCTCGTGCGCAAGGCTCGGAAAACCCTGACTACTGCCGTGGTCTGTGTAATGGCCTCGATATTCACCTCCCTGATGTTCTTCTCACCGTTGTGATCGGGCGTTTCTGTCCCTCGTTCGTGATCTATCACGGGAAGGTCTGGGGGGCAAGCCGATTGTCGGCCATGTAGTACCAGGTACGGAGATTCGCCGATTCGCCGCCATAGAACGCAAATTCACTGCAGACAAATAGGCCCGCGGGCAGTTATCGTGAAGTCACCAGAGGGATATCAAGTCTCTTGAGTCCCTCCCACATAGCGTGCAGGGTATGTATTAGAATTCCGCTGCGCGCTTCAAAAATCGTGGCATGTTGGCCCCCAGCCAAGTCCAAAATTACAGAGGCCAATCCCGGTTGCATGTACAAGTGAAGGATGTACTGCATAAGTTCTGAAATTGAATGACCAGCCTCAAGAATGTTGCAACGCCGAAAGTAGACCTTGTTTCGTGTACTCCCATCTTAACCCTGCTGTTATCACTATGATGGCGTCGTTCAGAACGTTCATTGTTGACATCTGACACCCCATATTAGATTTCACTGTTATCTAAATTTTACACATAATCATGATCACAGCTATAGTTTTGAAAAACTGAATATATGTTAATCAACAATCGACCCTAAGCAACCAGCACACTCAATTCAATAAGATAGAAGCGGTCATCTTGCAAACTGGAGCAAAACAACTACCCCACCAACGAAAACACGTCATCACACAAGTGACTGTCAGTGGCTAGAACCAACGAGTCACCTAAATCAGCACAAAGGCCCCTACAAACGAAAACACTCCTCTCAGCAAAACATCCCGACAAGAGGTTTGGCAGAAATGAATCACTTCAACGGTGGGACCCCACATGAGAATCGATTTAATGTGCCCCTCGTTTGTTTCCCATTCGCTCTGCGGAGGCCCTCCTCCCGCCCACTGTTGCGCCTCCTCCTCCTCGTGATTTCGCCCTCCGACTCCTCCTCGCTCCCGAGTCCGACCCGCAGCGCAAGCGATCACCAACTTCGGAGAACGTGCCCCAGCGTCCAAGCCGCTCAAGGTTGCCTCCCATGGGGACGCCACCAAACAGCTGCGAAGGCCCAGAGGACTCCACCAGCACGCCAGACGAGCCCAACGGGCCCAGGACGGCCTCAATGTGGCCCTTCGCTGATCCACAAAAAACCCAACAACTTCGGCTGTTCCGTGAAACCCCAACCGGCTTTCCGGACGTGGTGCCGCAAAGCGCTGTGGATATGTATGGGTCACTGTTTGATTTGTCGATGCTCCAGAGTAGACCGAGACGCAACATCGCGTCCGAGCTTGCCTCGATAAGTAGTCTCTGGACGGATCGGCGCGCGTGGGAGGCTTCGTGGGTATCCTTTTGAGGTCCCAGCCTCGCCACGAAATATGTCTGACAAAACAGGGGAACGAGCTGCAAAGGCCAATAGAAGGCGAGCTGAGCTCGTGCTCGGCACAGATGTTGATATTATCTGCGACGAGCCTTCTCGGCGAGGCCGAACGCATGGCAGTTCTGGCCTCGCAAAACAAACCTCCAACTAGAGGAAAGCAAACACGTGAAATGCGAATACTGCCATCAAAAGTTCGGCGCTCGCCCTGACACATCAGACGTGGTTGTGTGACCTGAAATGTGGCGATTGAAGATTACTTCTGACTCGCAGCAACCAGCGGCGTGGAGAGCGTGTACCGCTGCGACGGAAGAACACCAAAAAACGAATTCAAAACGACCTTCTTCCCCAACAATGCCGTGAGAACCTTCCACATAGCCCTGGTCTTGGCGGCCCACTGGCGGGAATCAAGGTTTGTCGGCAATCTTCCGCTTGGTGAGAGGCAGTCGATCTCAAGCGTCGAAGAAGCAGCAGCGGCTGATACTCTCTGCCCCCCGCTTCTGCTGTCAGGCAGGCTGGGGGGGGGGTCCTTCCTGATCCGCCCGCTTGCGCTTGAAGTCCTCGATGGCTTCCACGATAGCTGCAAGCCCGATAATCCTTGCGCCGTCCTCCAAGCTCCCCAGGAATTTGGACTTGTACGCCAGGGCCTCGTCAGGATCTGGGCAGTTCTCCAGCATATGCGTAAGGATCGCCGCATTGTTGGAAGACCAGCCTGTTATCATCAGGAGGTTCAGCCGCATGGGGCCCGAAGGCCTGTTGATGTCCAGACCATGCTTTACATAGAGCTCAAATGTAGCAGAGGTGCCTTCTACGAAGAACCAGTAATCATTCGTGAGATTGTAACCTGCTTTCGGAAGCCATGTGTTGCCTGCAAGTCCAGAGTAAAAGCAGGCATTCCCGTCCATGCCAAGCCCGAACGCGAGGCGGAGGATGTCCTTGTTCTCCGCTGCATACATATACCAAGCATGGACAGCGTCAGCACCTGGGCTCCAGCTCATATAGTTGCAGCGTGTGTTGTAGTTCATGAGAAGGCCTGGTTTGTGCTGCAGCGAAATGAGCTTACTGGACCATCTGAAAAAATCACCTCCATGCTCAACGAGAAGCTTGGCACAATCCGCATTGTTCGACCGAACACACTGGATCAGCGGAGCGAAATCCAAATTGTTTGGCGAATTGGGATCAGCACGACTCTCGAGAAGAAGCTTCAGCTTGTCAAAATATCCAGCCTGCGCTGGTCCGGCCAGAATGCTGTTCTCCTGGCCCGTGAGATTCCAAAAAGGTCGCTTCATGGTCATCCCGACTTTGGCGTGGACGTCGGCACGGGCATTGATGAGCAGCTTCATGCACTCCAAGCCTTCATCGCCATTGTCCATGTCTGCAGCCATTGAGAGCGCGGTGCACTTCTCTGCACTCTCGGCGTTCACCGAAGCCCTGTGCATTATGAGGGCGTGCACGACCTCCACCCTGCCGCATGACGCAGCAAGCATTAAAGGAGTTAGGCCTGTTGTAGGATCCGCGAAATTCACGTCCACATCATCAGCAATACTCAACGTCCCATCCCAGGCTTTTTGCAAAGTGCCATACGGCTTGAAACCGGCCAGCTGGTCCAAGGTGCTGTTCATATCCCATGCCTTCACAAAGCCAGGGTCTTCACGCCCGCAAGCCCAGTGCCACCAAGTATTGTGAGTGATCCAGTTCATGAAATCGTAATCATTCCTATGCTCACGTAGGATGCGAACTGCCTGCCACTTCTTGCCCATGCTGGCAAGCGCGAAGAGAGAATGGCCCTCATCAGAGAGTAGGCATGGGTGGACGCCCTTAGAAAGCAATGTGTCTAAGACCTCTAAGTCGGGCAGACTGGCCGCATGCCTCAACAATGTGCCGACGCCATCTAGGCGCCAACAATTGCTGTCAACCAGAGTTGGGACCATGACCCGGGCAAGAAAAAAATTACCATGAAACCACCTCTTGTTGCAGTCCCTGTCATCCCAGACTACATCCGTTTCGTATTCGTCCCAATGGATTGCAGCGATCATATACCCGGAACCGTCTCCCACCCAGGGCCGGTGGTCCATTGGTGTACCATGAATCGCCTTGTCAAGGATAAGATAGCCCAGAGGGTGGCTGCAGCTGAATGAAAGAGCCATGCTCCCTACCTTCAAGAGTGCACGCTCGTCCTCGGCCAAGATCGCGCAGTACTGCTCGAGAACATCTGAGTCCAGCATCTCAAAGACGTGGAACCACACTTGGAGCCACCAGCTCTCGGACAGCCGCTCGCGGTCCAAACACTGCGAACTGCTAGATAGGATGGAGTTTACGTATGCTCGCATTTTCTTCTGAGAATGAGCATGGCAAACGATCGCCGCGCAATACTCACCGCCCATCAGCTCCTGGAATGACAGGTGCGTAAGCTGCACCTCAGGCTCCGCATCGAACACTTCAACTTTCTCTAAGATGGGCATGCGCCCCTGCTGAAACGCATCCTTCAGCACCACGATCATACCATTGTCGTCTGAGGCCTGCTCTATGCCTGTCCAGGAAGTCGAACGCAGCCTCAATTGGTGCAAATGAAACGACACTGACTGGAATAGCTGTCGTGCCCGTACGCTCTTCAACATCTCTAGCCTGCGAACCATCGCTTGGTCATTGGCTCCATCCCGCATTGCGAACTTTGCAGCATCAGATTGATGCAACATGAGCTTCACAGCACGCTGGTAGATATCAGTCTTCTTCATGACATCCTTTCGTGCACGGTCATCTGTCAGTGGAAGACTCTTGCCTTCTGTACTCTGAGAGTGGAACTTCCGAAGAACATGGATGAGCAATGTCAAAATGAGGGGATTCTCCCTGAGGGAGGAATAGCCCGGATCAGACACACTGCTTCGGATGGCGCTGATCGTCTCATGCGCTTCTTGAGCGCGTGTAAGTGTACGCTGCACAACGTCTTCAGCCTGTGGGAGAGTCAAAGCACCCATCCTGAACGAGACGAAAGCCAGCGACGCGAGCAAGTCATACTCCGAGGGTCCCAAATTACCTGGCCTCGATGTGAGAACACAAATGTGTGAGGGCTCGCTTTGCAGTATCGACCGGATGAATTCCAGCACCTGTAGCCGAGAGGAAGCTGCCTCATCCAGACCATCGAACAACAAAAACAACGCCTTGATGTCTTCTGAATGCTGGGGGTCTCCGATAGCTTTCTCGCGTGTTGCATCTTCTCCTTCCGATGCCGAAAGAACAGATGTCCTCCTGGACGCGCGGTCAGCAGCACCAAGGCACCAATTTCGCACAGTATAGACCAGCTTGTGCGGGATGGAATCGTGGCCATGCTTTCTTTGCATCCACTCGGATAGCAAGTCGCAGATCGGGTCGGCCCCCAGAGGCAGGTCCGGATTAGCCTCAAGCTGCCTAGCCAAGTCGATTAGTGGAGTCCGGACGGGGATGAGGTTCATGCCGCTGATTCTCGTGGTACCCGCCATGTCTCCTGGCTCATCGCGGATGCCGAGCAGCTGTTGCTGTGCCACTTCCGAGAAAAGCTGCTTCGTCATGAGAGTCTTCCCGCTCCCAGAATCGCCAATCACGAATACCCGACCCTGATATCTTTCTTGACTCAGCACTTCTGGTAGATACTGCTGGTGGACCATGCGCAACTTCTCGCAGACAATCTTGACGCTCTTCGGCAGCTGTAGGCTACGCGGGAAAATGCGCCCACTGAACTTCACGTCCACTTTGATACAATGGTCAGTCACGTGTACTTTCTCGCGGGTGAGGAAGTCAGTGGACCACGCCTCCGCTGTCCCAATTTGCGCCAAATACCTAGGAAAGTCAGATTCAAACTCGAAAGAAGCAACCTGCACGTGTGTCGCACTGGTACTCAGTCGGCGGCCTTTCTGGCCCTCCCAGACTGTGCGGTACTGTTCAATCCACTCCAGCGCTGTGGGTCCGACGTCAACGCCAGCTTCCCACATCACTCGCTGAGCGCCTGCAAGGGCAAAGAAAGAAGCACGGGTCTTCTGGTGCATGCTCGGCTCACTGTATGACAGCATTCGCGCCGACCACGAGAAGAAAGCTAAAGCGAATGGAACGCCGTCGTTGTCTGGGACGTCGTCACCAATCTCGTAGATGCAGAGACAGTGCCTGATGCGTGTCAGCAGCTCAAGCACAAACGTGGCCGTCGGATCGCTCTTGAGCTGCTCCCCTCCGATTAAAGGCAGCGCTGTTGTGGCATCGGGTGTAGCGAACAGCAGCTTCGCAAACGTTTGGATGTGCGACTCGTTCACATTATCCTCCAGATACAAGAAGAGGCAAGACGCAAGGAATTTTGAGAGGTCCATGAGCACGTGGACGTTGTCCTTCACGGTCGCGAAATCTATCAGCCAGACTAGCCCTTGTGAGTCGAGCAGTAGATTCCCGCCGTGCAAATCGTTGTGCGCCAAGCCACAAACTATTTGCCGGTCAAACTTTTTATTGAATCGCTGCTCCTGCTCAATGAACTCTTGGAAGAAGCGCTTGATGGTAGAACGTTTGCCGCACAACTCACTGACGAACTTGCCTTCGGGATCTAGGTCATCGATGTCGGGTGGCGTCAGAAACCCGATGCCCAATGCAGCATTGTGTTTGCTACGTTTCGCACCCTCCACAGCTCGATTGAGGATGCCGTGGCCGACAAAGCGGACAATCTTGTACATCTTGGCTAGATTCTCCTTCCTGACGGAACGCGTAGACATCGTGAAGGCAAGCATACGTCGGGTCAGGGCCTCGTTGACGATGGGCACCACATCAGTCTGGCGCTTCCCCGAAGTAAACTCACCCTGGATTACTGACGCAAAGGTGAGCACAGGTGGGGCAGAAGCAAACTCGGGAAGACCAAATATGCCACCGCATAGGTCAATCTGCATGACAGCACATGGTTCGTCTTCGGAGACGTCTTCAAGAAATTGAGAATCCTTAACTTTCGGAGTTGTCAAGCCAAACAACTTCCCGTACCGCTCGGTCAACTCGATCTCCTCCTTCACGTTGGCAGCAACGTCGAATTTCAGCACTGATGACGGCATGGGTGTTCCGTCCTTGCGGCTGGGCGAGAAGAAGAAGACGGACGCGCCACTGAAACTCAAGGAGATTTGCTTGAGCTTGAACCGTGAATGCTGACGAGCCTCCCCGAGGCATAATAAGGCGCGCCTCTGATTTGCGCTCAACTTGTGCACGTCCCCCTGAAGCACAGCCTCCTCGTCTGACGCCTGCTCAGTCTGCGCCTCATTCCCATCTTCATCAGGAACGTTGTAACCCACCAGCGCCGCTTCACCTGCAGCCTTTTGCTCCACGGACTCGCTCCCAAAATCAGCTTTCCAGAAAGTCTGGCAACAATGCACGTGCTTATTCGAGTGGAGCGCAATGCCCCCAGGCCCCTTGTCCGCAACTTCACGTATAAGTACCGGGCCCGTGTACGCTTTCTGGTGAGCTGCAACACGCGCTGCCCTCGCATCAATATCCTTTTTTGGCATGTGGAGACTCATCGCAGAGAGACAAAGAGAGCTGCGAGTTTGACGGGTCGAGAGCTCAATGCCGCAGAGACTACGTGCAGCGTTGCAACGCCAAGTGGACCCAAAGAAGGCCTGAACCAGAATGGCCGTGGATATCATCAGTATCATCATTATCACCACCACCACTATCACCAGCATCATCATCATCGTCATCATCGTCATCACCGTCATCATCATCATCATCATCATCATCATCATCATCATCATCATCATCATCATCATCATTCGCCGTCCTCATCATCATCATCACCACCATCATCTCACCACCACCACCACCATCATCCTCCTCAGGGAACGCATCATCATCAGCAGCATCATCATCATCATAATCACAAACACCGTCACCACCATCATCATCATCATCATCAGCATCATCAGCATCATCATCATCATCATCATCATCATCATCATCATTACCATCACAATCACCATGACCATCAGCATCATCATCAAAAACAAAATCACCGTGAGCACGGACAACCATCACCATCAACAACAAAAGCATCATCATCAACATCATCAACAAAAGCATCATCATCAACAACAACAGCAGCATCATCGTCATCATCATCAGAATCAAGGATCCGCATTATCATCATCGTCACCGTCACCATCAGCAACATCATCACCATCATCATCACCATCATAAACATCATCATCGGAAGCAGCATCATCATCTTCAATCATGACCAGCATCCTCATCAGCATTCATCATCGTCATCATCATCATCAGCATCATCATCAGCATCATCATCATCATCATCATAAGATCATCATCATTCATCATCATCATCGTCATCATCATCACGCATCATCATCGTCACCGTCAGCAACATCATCACCATCATCATCACCATCATAAACATCATCATCGGAAGCAGCATCATCATCTTAATCATGACCAGCATCCTCATCAGCATTATCATCGTCATCATCAACAGTCATCATCATATCATCATCATCATCACCGACATCATCATTATCATCAGGATCAATATCATCACCATCATCATCGTCGTCATCGTCATCACCATCATCAGCATCGTCATCGTCATCACTATCATCACATCAACATCATCTGCCTCATCATTCAGCAGCATCATCAGCATGATCTTCACAATAATCATCATCATCACCACCACCATCATCATCGTCATCATCAGCATCAGCATAATCGACATCATCAGCATCATCAGCAGCATCAGCAGCATCATCATCACAACCACCATGATCATCATCATCATAATCCTCATCATCAGCACCATCACCAGCATAATCATCATCACCAGAATCATCATCACCAGAATCATCATCACCATCATCATGGACAACAATATCAAAACAACAACAACAACAACAACAACAACAACAACAACAACAACAACAACAACATCATCACTGACCGGCCGACCGACTGACCGGGTGACCAGGTGGCCAGCTGAACGGCTGACTGGGTGACCAGCATCACCAGCTGACAGGTTGACTGGCTGACCAGTTGACTTGCTTTTCAGGAGCGCGTTTCTTTCTTTTCGGTGATGACGGGCTTCATGGGGGGAGGGGGGGCGGGGAGGGGTATGACGTAACACTCCTCGCGAGCAGCATGCAGGTGGCGATCTGCCCCACAGCGCCTGTGCATGTGTATACCACAGCGCCTGCGTACACCGCAAAAGCCGTGTGCAACGCAGCGCCTGCGTACACCACGGTGCTTTTGTGCACCACAGCGTCGGTGTACACCACAGCGAGTGTGCACACCGCAGCAGCCATGTGCAACACAGCGCCTGTCTACACCACAATCTTTTTGTGCACCGCAGCGCCTGTTCACACCACATCGCCTGTCCACACCACAGCATCCGCGTGCAACGCAGCGCTGGTGTACACCGCGGCGCCTGCGTGCACAGGACAGGTAAAAGGAACATGGTGGTGATGATCTGCTGCGGACAGCTAAACGCCACGCCAGGGAAGTGCTGAGAATAGCGACGTTTTCCCTCGTCCCTCCTCCACCTCCACATCCTCCTCTTCCTCCTCCTCCTCCTCCTCCTCTTCCTCCTCCTCCTCTTCCTCCTCGTCCCCCTTTTCCTCCTCCCTCACCCTTCCCCCCTGTCGTGCGGGTCGGCGCTACAGCGCACGTGCGCATCTCAGCGTGCACCGCAGAATGGTCGATTGAATCAATCCACTTGCCTCTTGGACGGCCAATTTAGCTGGAGCCTCCTAGACGCAAAATGGGAGGAGTGAGGATGATGCGGGCGGACTCATCATCATCATCATCATCATCATCATCATCATCATCATCATCATCATCATCATCATCATCATCATCAGCATCATCATCATTACCATGACAATCACCATGACCATCAGCATCATCATCACAAACAAAATCACCGTCACCACCACCAAGACCACCACAACCACCACCAAGACAACCATCACCATTACCAACAAAAGCATCATCATCATCAACATCATCAACAAAAGCATCATCATCAACAACAACAGCATCATCATCATCGTCATCATCATCAGAATAAGGATCCGCATTATCATCATCGTCACCGTCACCATCAGCAGCATCATCACCATCATCATCACCATCATAAACATCATCATCGGAAGCAGCATCATCATCCTAATCATGACCAGCACCCTCATCAGCATTATCATCGTCATCATCAACAGCATCGTAATCATGATCATCATCATCATCATCACCATCATCATCATCATCATCATCATCATCATCATCGACATCATCATTATCATCAGGATCAATGTCATCATCATCATCGTCGTCATCGTCATCATCATCACATCATCATCAGCATCGTCATCATCAGCATCATCATCATCATCATCATCATCATCAATCATCATCATACATCATCATCATCATCAGCAGCATCATCAGCATGATCTTCACAATCAATCATCATCATCACCACCACCGACTCTTCAGCTTCATGACGTGGGACACTTCATGCGGACAGCACTCAGCATAATCGACACATACATACATCAGACAGCATCACATCAAGTTCCACGAACACACCATGATCATCATCATCATAATCCTCATCTAATCAGCGAACCATCAGCAGAACATAATAACATGTTCATTCACCAGAATCATCATCACCAGAATCATTCATCACCATTTTCATCATGGACAACAACATCGGAAAACAACAACAACAACAACAACAACAACAACAACAACAACAACAACAACAAGAACAACAACATCATCACTGACCGGCCGACCGACTGACCGGGTGACCAGGTGTCCAGCTGAACGGCTGACTGGGTGACCAGCATCACCAGCTGACAGGTTGACTGGCTGACCAGTTGACTTGCTTTCCAGGAGCGCGTTTCTTTCTTTTCGGTGATGACGGGCGGGCGACATGGGGGGAGGGGGGCGGGGAGGGGTATGACGTAACACTCCTCGCGAGCAGCATGCAGGTGGCGATCTGCCCCACAGCGCCTGTGCATGTGTATACCACAGCGCCTGCGTACACCGCAAAAGCCGTGTGCAACGCAGCGCCTGCGTACACCACGGTGTTTTTGTGCACCACAGCGTCGGTGTACACCACAGCGAGTGTGCACACCGCAGCAGCCATGTGCAACACAGCGCCTGTCTACACCACAATCTTTTTGTGCACCGCAGCGCCTGTTCACACCACATCGCCTGTCGACACCACAGCATCCGCGTGCAACGCAGCGCTGGTGTACACCACGGCGCCTGCGTGCACAGGACAGGTAAAAGGAACATGGTGGTGATGATCTACTGCGGACAGCTAAACGCCACGCCAGGGAAGTGCTGAGAATAGCGACGTTTTCCCTCGTCCCTCCTCCACCTCCACATCCTCCTTTTCCTCCTCCTCCTCCTTCTCCTCCTCCTCCTCCTCCTCCTCCTCCTCCTCCTCTTCCTCCTCGTCCCCCTTTTCCTCCTCCCTCACCCTTCCCCCCTGTCGTGCGGGTCGGCGCTACAGCGCACGTGCGCATCTCAGCGTGCACCGCAGAATGGTCGATTGAATCAATCCACTTGCCTCTTGGACGGCCAATTTAGCTGGAGCCTCCTAGACGCAAAATGGGAGGAGTTAGGATGATGCGGGCGGATTCCGGAGGACTCATTGATTCCAGCGGCGCTCCTGTTCCCTGAGGGATTCTTTTCCAAATTTTGTAGAAAACATTTTTTGTTAAATTCACAAGCGCCCCATGTTGTCATAAGGATTACTTATGTAAAAAATGTATCTGCAACAGCGGTGTTCTGTTGCACACGGTTGCTGAAATGCACACAGTCGGCGTGGTGCACACAGGCGCTGTAGTGCGCGCAGGAACTGTGATACACTGGTACTGTGTTGCACACGGCTGATGTGGTGTACGCAAGCGCTGTGGTGTACACAAGCGCTGTGGTGCCCGCAGGCACTGTGGCACACATTGGCGCTGTGTTGCGCGCGGTTGCGGTGGTGCACATACGCGGCGTGATGTACACAAGCGCTGTGGTGTACGCAGGTAGTGTGGTTTACACAGGCGTTGTAATGCAGATCGCCACCGACATGCTGTTGCTGACCGTCCTCGGTCATTCTTGGACATTCCCAGACGCCGCCGGCGCGAAATATGACGTGATCGGCCCCGTCCCCCACACCCCCAGATGATTGCCGCCATCGGCCTGGGATCACAGAACAGGCTCCAGCCGCGCCCGCCCGCCGACGACGATGAGCGACGAGCGACGAACGACAAGCGAAAACGACGACGACGATGACGACGACGACGACGACAACGACGACGACTGCGGACCAAATTCCGATGCGGATTCCTATGCGGACACCTATGTGGATCTCGATGCGCACGGCGGCAAACCGGCTGACCAGTTGACCAGCTAACCTGCTGACAAGCTGACTGGCTGACCTGTTGACTGGCTGACCGGCTGACCGGGTGGCCCGCTGACCGGATGACCGGGTGGCCCGCTGACCGGTGACTGGCGAGATGAACTCGCGGGCGCGCATGGGGCGATCGCGCCCCCTCCTCCTTGCAACCGGGGCACTCCCAGTGGATCGGGGCGATGTGAGGATAGAGGATAGTGGCACGTTGCCTGATCGAGGAGCATATGCCCACATGTTGCGCTTGCACGCCTCGCATGTGTAGCGCGCTCTCGGCTGCCACTCCACGTCTGGTTTCGACCCCCGTGGCTCGAGAGGCCACTGTTGGCAAGGCTACTGACGGACGTCGCACTCACAAGCACAAATCGCGAGGTGCGGGGGCCTCAGACGGCGGCGTGAATTCACGACGCCCTGGACGAGTCGTCCGGCCATCTTCCATGGCCAGATTGGGGCGTCGAAGCTATCGCGGCCCTCGACGTGGACGTGGGAGCGTTTGCCTGGGCATCTGAAGTTCGCGAACTGCTCGAGGATGACCGGAGCTTCGGAGACCAGCCCGATGGTTTTCATCAAGATGCCCCCGCGACGATCTCGAAGACCAAACTGACATCTGGGCAAAGATGACCACGTCCGCGCCTCGGGCTACCAGCACCTCTGGCAATGGCGACCCGTCGTGCAGTTACGATGGCCCAGGCTGCTCGTTGACGACGCAGCCGCCTAACTCAAGCTGCAGCAGCGCAAGGCATCCGCAGAATAGGCGAGGCGTGGCCGCGTCCTCGTAGAAGCGCAGTCAGGCGCGGCAGTTCTGCTCGCAGTTGAAGTGGGCCCATTGGCCGAAGGGACTGCAGGCTGGAGCCATGATGGCTACTAGTGACCGACGTTGTCTATCATATATGTCCACGGCCCGCCGCTGGCACTCGCAGCTAAGGTCACAGCCAGTGACCAAGTCGAAGTTCCTGCCAGCTCTACGGCGGCGGCGGACTACCAGTCTGCTAGTTCGCGCCTTTCCACCACAAGTCTCGATGATGTCGACGCCGTGGTCGACAGCTGCGAGGTGGGCGGGGAGCTGGCGAGCGGCGTGGATTTCGGTGGACTGCGGCGTTCGAACACCAGCCGTTCGGGGGTCAGCCTCTGGCACCAGGGCCGGCGAGCCTCGGAAACACCACGTGGGCAAACCTGCGGCAAGGTTGCCACGGTGGCCGCCCTCGTCGCACATGCCCACGCAGCCTGGATCGCCCAAGGCTGGACGGCCGAGAGGACAAGGGGCTAACCCAGCGGGGTCGGCGCCGCATTCGCCGCAGCGCCCTCGGCGACCTGCTCGCGCGCCTTGTGCGCATGGCCCTCCTTTACCCTCTTCTTTTGGCGCGCGCGCTCTGCCGTCGGGCAGGCGCCGGCGACGCATTCGCCAGACCCCCCCCGTGACCGGTCGCGCTTGAGGACCTGGGTGTCTTAGGTTTTTGAGCGCACGCGGCCCAGGGTGCGCCGCTGGGCATCGTGCTTGCGGTCTGCCACAGGATTGGAATACGTGTTCGAGTCTGGCGAGCAAGCTGCCGTCGCGCCTCGTTGAAAGCGCACACTCCTCGACACGCATCTGCTAGGTGCATCACAATTGCAGCGAGGTGAAGTCGAAACAGTCCGCGGCAAATCAGGGCCGCAAACACTCGTTGGTGGACGATCGCCGCGTCGTCGACGAGCTCCACCAGACTGACGTTGCATCGGCGCAGCTGGCAGCAGATTGGCGCCCCGGCGAGCACAATAATACAACGCTGGTGCGTGGGCCAACGGCTCGCGACAAGCCCGACGCTGGCCCGCGACGGAACAAGCGGGCGTCGATCATCCGCCGCGCCACTTGTCGTCTCCAGGGTTGGCCACGCTAGCCAAAGCCCTAGACCCTGGCGCACTTGTTAGGGAGAAGGAGTCGAGGATGAGACGAGCCTCGCCCCTGAATGCTTCGCGCGTAACCCGCCGCATGCAGCAGTCGGCGTCGGGGAACGCGCTGTCGAACAACGGATTTCTGGCCCCCTCGAAGTCCGCGGCGCGGAAGGCGTCGAAGCCGCGGTCTCGCCGCGCTAGCGACGCGCCCCGCTCTCGTTCTAGGGCCCAGGCGGGGCGCCCAGGTCGCGCCGCCCACTCCTGCCAGGGCAAGTCGGCGGGGTCAGCCTGGAGGGCCGGCCGGGCCACTTCCCGGCGAGGCAGCCCCTTGGGGAAATCGTCGCCACAGGCACCGAGAGACCCCGCCTAACTGGCCACCGGGTAGATCGGCGCTCGCCAGGTAGAACGGCGACTCGCCCCCTGAACTCGCGCACGCGCCCGACGAAGTCCGCCACCACGGGGGCGTTGGTCTGCGCGTCGGCAAGCGCGCGTCCAGGCGGTCGCCCCAGGGCCATCAGCCCACATTTTAGCTTTGATAAGAATCATCTCTCTCTGGCACACTAAACTTGATAGTTGCGATGGCATCTCGAGGGTCTCTTCGGGGTCCTCGCGGAAGCCCTCTAGGGGCATGTGGGGAATCTCTGTGGCCACCCTAGCGCAGCCGTCGGCGGCCTTCTTGGGGCCGTGTTGGGCCGTCTTGAAGGCCATTCTGGTTGTGTCCGAACCCACGCCCCCGCTCCGCGGCAAACCCTGGGGGGGCCCTGGGGGGGCGGGAAATGTTGTCACTGACGCAGCGCGCCTTCGGAACAGCAGAATGCCTAAAGTATGTAGGGCACGCACTCACAATGCCACGACCCCTCATAGAGCACGCTGGATCCGCACCCCCGTCGCCACGACCCCTTGTAAATTGCACAGGATCCGCACTTCCAAGGCCACGCCCCTGCGCATATTCGAACGAACCCTTGAGATTGCTAGCAACACCGAGTTTCATCAGGCACCCTACCGAACCACGTTTGGGGAGACAACGACACCCCAAGAAACGCGCACCATACATGTTCTGGACGCGTGTGCTCTGATACGCTACAATAAGTATCCTTCGCATTCCTCTTCCCCCTCCCCCTCCTCCTCCCGCCCGCCCCCCCCCCCCCCCCCTTCCTCATCGTACCCTTCTTCCCCTCGACTTCCAACTCCTCCTCGTTCTCCTCGTCCTCATCCTTCTCTTCCTGGTTTTCCTCCTCCTCCCCGTCCTCCTGGCATCCCCCTCCTCTCCTCCTCGTCCTCCTCCTCCCCCCCCCCCCTCCTCGTCATCCCTCTCTTCCTGGTTACCCCCCCCCCCCTCTCCTCGCCCTCCTCCTGGGGGGGGGGGGGGCAGGGGAGGGGGAGGGGGGGCAAAGGAAAGGGGCGCAGGGAGGGGAGGGGGGAAGGGAAACTGAAGGGAGGGGGGGGAGAGGAAGGGGGAAGGAATGAGGGGGGGGCGAGAGGACAGATCCAAAAGAAAGGACAGGCGAGACGGCCGCAGCGATGGTGATGTTGGCGATGATGATGTTGATTGCGTCCTAGATGTTCGGTTATTGTTTTGTGTAGTGTCGGTGGCTTGTTTGCTTGATGGTTGTTTGATGTGCGTTTGATGTTTGTGTGATTGTTGGTGTTGTTTTTTCTTCAGCCTGAGTTCGGCAGGCGAGACGTACGACCGAGCTACATTTGTCAAGCCATCGCCAGTGCGAGAGCAGTCACGTGCAACCTGATATCTGATATCATCTATGTTTCTCACTCCTGTACATCATATATCACATGTAATTCTGCATAGCGATGCCCTTGTCCATGGCGAGCTGCACTGGCTCGAACAGTTTTTCCACGCCCCAACTCTGCCTGTTCCTTTCCACAGTCATGAGATATTTCTTGTGCACAACAGCGTTGCCTTTGATTTCGCTCGCTCCGTAGACAACGGCGTACTCGAGCACCGTCGTCGCAGCACGCTGCAAGCTTGCCAAGGCGAGGTCCACCTCGGCGCTGTTAGTCACGTAGATGTTGAACTTTGTAGTGAGAGTGCCGAGTTCGTTCTTCAGCTGCATGTGCGCTTCGACTTCAGCCTTGAGGGGGTCGCGGGGCATGCCCTTGAGGAAGTCACCCGCAATGTCAAGCAAGGCGTCGAAGGCAATCGAAGGGCTGACCCCGTCGCGCCAGTCTCTGTCCAGTAAACCATCCTTGAGCTTGCCCAGCAGTACGCTCGCGCTCTCAGACAGGAGCATCGCCTCCAGCGCAGCCCGTTTCGCGCCGGAGAGTTTGCGCGAGGGCCGCCGACTCTGCCGCCAGCGCCTCCATGAACGCTTCATTCATTACAGCTGCATCGCCCTCGGGGGCCGCCTCTTTCAATGCCTCGCACTGCGTGAGCAGGGCCAAGATAGCATCAACTGAGTGATCGGGGGCAGCGGCGGCGTCGGCGTCAGAGAAGTCGCCGCTCGGGTCTCGCGGCACGATGGTCGCCATTGCCCCCACTAAGGTCTTTGCCAACTTCGCTCTGCCAACCAACTGCTCGAAGGACTTGAAACCAGACCCCACGGGAGAGACGCATGACCACTTCTGCCACGCGCTTGCTGTGGAAACCCGCCTGAGCGAAGAATCGAACAGCGGATCACGAGAGACATCGAGGGAGTTGCCCCTCTTCTTCGCGACCCACTCCACCGCCTGTTTCGCGAAAGAAATGAGCTGCTGCATGGGCGGCTCTGGAACTAGATCCCCCGGGCCCTCGGCCTCGCCAAACTGAGACAATCCATAGACGAGGATGTCTAAGTTGAACACTCCAAGCTCACCGCAGAAATGCACGACGAGGTTCTTCCCAGCACTACGAGACCTGCAAGAGTTGATCGCACCCACTGCCTCAGACCAGGCCGAGCGAAAGCCGAAGATGGCAGCCGCCATCTGCGAGAGAGCCTCTACATTATCACTGAACTCGTCGGTTGCCTCGCGCGGGTCATCATTCACATGGGCACCGATGCGCTCGAAGAAGCGGCCCAGGGCACCGCGCGATACCTGTGAAAGAAAGAACTGTACTCCACCTCTGGGAGCACCGCTTTGATGATGGGCAGATCCTTCATGATGCTACTGGGGGCATTGTAAGTCGGCGGCTCCTCGGACTGCAGGGCTGCCAAATGCTTACTCATGCTAGGGCGCCACTTCTTCACCCCGGGAGAGAACTTCAAGTAGTCCTTGAGCTTCACCTTCCAGCACGGCTCATTCGACACGACGGCGTAGACGGCGCCTTCGACCGCAGTGGACTTAGATTTGCCCAGCTGCTCCACTGCCGCCAGGTGTAGCGCATCTTCGGCCTGCTGCCCAAGCGCGCTCATCAGCTGCAATACCGCCGCGACCTCAGCAGCAGCGCTATCGACTTCGATCTCGCAGGTCATCGGCATCGCCTTGATTGCGCCCATCGCAGCGGCAACGAACTCCACGGTCCTTTGGTGCCCATCCTTCCCGAGGTGCAAGAAGCGCGAAAGGGTGATCTTGCACAGGTAGCCCTTGAATTTCGCAGCCTTCTCTGGAACAAGCAGAATCACCAACGCTAGAGCCCGGGCCGCGCACTCGAACTTAACAACATAATCAACGTCTCCGATCTCGCGAGGCCACGGCAAACACATAGCGATCGCCTGTCCTGGTTTGGACCCCCACTCCTGGTCATTCTTCCAGTCCTCCAGCGCCCTCTCCCACAACGCGCGCTGGAACCCCACGGGGACTCTGGGGACGTTCTTGTCGATATCATCTGCGAGTTTCGCCAACTCGTCGCCGTTCATCGCCCTGCTGATCTTCGCATTCTGGTCGCCAGCAACCTTGCACCTCTCCGCCAGGTTCAACCACGTCGAAGCCACACTGTGGTCTGGATCATCCGTATGCTTGCTCGCGTTGTCCCTGAGCTGGCGCACCGTGTGCCCCACCTTCTTCCCCGCCAGCAGTCTGTGGATCTTGCAATTGTGCATAGCGTGCCTGCGGCCAGTGGTCCAGCTCGATGTTCAGGGCTGTTGGGTGCACTAACTTACGTTCCCCCCGTTCGTTTAAGCTTGGTCTGGGGTCGGGGCCGTCACCCCGCTGACGTTTTACACAGGTGGCTTAAATTGGGTATGGGACCTTATGTATTGCATTGCACACGTACGTTTACATGCACACGCGTAAGCCATTACTATTTTAAGTGTGCGTGCCGTGTTTTAGTTATGTTGCGTGATACCTTCTTGAATGTTTTTTTCACTGTACCCTTGCATCCCAAAAAACCTGAGCTTGGACCAAGAAGCCCTCGCCGTCCTCGTCCCCTTGCCCGTTTCCTCCGACCCCTCCTCCACGGCCTCGCCATCGTCAAAGCTGCTGGCCTTCACGCTGGAGACCACCGAGCCACCGCCACCGCCCACCGCCGACACCGCCGCGCGCAGCGAAGAAGCACCACCAGGCGAGGAGCCCTCGAGCTGCGACAGAGCAGACGCGTTCATCTTCACAGGCGTGGAGGCTGGCGGGCCCCTGGGCTCGCCTGGGTCGGTCGCCTTGTGGACGCTCGCCGCCTCCGTCGGCCCTGCAGCCGCAGCCCCATCGGCCAAGGCCACCACCGATTCCGAAGATGGCCCCGACGGCGGCAAACTCGACGGCGCTGAACCCGAACTCCTGGACTTGAGGGCCTCGTTTTTTTGCCGCGATTTCCTCGACCGTCGCCTTGTCCTGGATCCTACACAGGATGTCATCGTGAGTGGGCGAGTTGATGAGAGCCCTGAGGTCCGCGCAACGGTTATCAATCAAGGACTGCATGTGGGTAGCGCCCTGCTGGGGGGGACAATCTCCGACCTGTAGGCATCGCCAGCATGGAATGGTTGAGCTCCCTGCGGCGGTAGATGTTCACGACGGTGTGCGGCTGGTCAGGGCTCACCTGCACGAAGACGTTCCTGAGGGCGCCGCTCTGGTCCACAATGTTCGTGGGTTTCATGTCGATCTCACTCGGCGGCTTCTTGTAGTAAGCGATCACGTCGCTCTCTTTCAGTCAACGGAACGAACAGACCGTGTCCTCGAAAAGGCAAGATTTCTCCCCCACACTCTCTTCGGACTCCATCTCTGGTTTCACGCCGCCTTGTTTGTGCAGAATGTGGTGCGAGTTGTCAAAGCCAGCCTTCACTTTCTCGTTGCTGTGGTACTGGTCGGTCAACGTGTCCCAGCCCCAGAAAGGGGACGCGAACTTGTGCGTCCCAGAGCACTTCCCGCACTTACACGCTGTCTCCATGGAATTCGTCTTCTCGCCGCAGATGCCGCAGCCGATATTGGGTTTCTTCTTGGGAGGTTTCCCGTCGACGGGCTGGGGCGGCAGCCCGAACTCCTGCTTCGGGCCGATCTGGTCGCCTCCTTTTCCCAGCGCCCTTCGAAACGACGATGGGGCCTGAGATGGCGCGGAGGCCGCAGATCGGCGGCGGCCCCTCCCCATCATCTGGATCGTTTTTTCGCTTCCTTTTGGGAGCCATCGAGAAGACGAGACACTCTCTGATAATCTCACATGACGATGTTCGATCACAAATGGCTGTGGAGAACAACGGGTCTGGAAACATTGGTGCTTGACCGTTCCCCGTTCGCTGGGGCAGTAGTTGGGCCATCTGTCAAGACCAAGGAAAGACATTCCCTCAACTGAGATTCCCACATTCGCAACTCAAGCAGGGGTTTCCGCTGGTAAACAGGACACGACAGGGAAAGACACAGTTGCAGTGCAATGCATTTGCAAGCCATGCAAAAAGCAACGCAAGCTGTGCAATTTAATGTTGGTGTTATACCCTATCGCCCTATCGATATCTCCTAAGATTGTTCCCCCAAGATGGCCCCTCCAAGATGGCTCCACCAAGAGGCCTCCACCAAGACGGCTCCACCAAGAGGCCTCCACCAAGACGGCTCCACCAAGAGGCCTCCACCAAGACGGCTCCACCAAGAGGCCTCCCCCTAGATTCTCCTTTTTCTGAAAACAAAAGAATAGACTCTACCCCCCCCCCCCGGACTTAACGTTTCCCCCTTGGATAACATAGTTTCATATATGTATCTATATATATATATACTCTGCACACTCGCCCATCCTAAATATGAAGTCATACCATCCCAGGAAGGCCGGCTTCCCCCCCCGTGAAGGTCCCTATGTAAACAAAAAAAAAAAAAAAAAAAAAAAAAAAAAAAAAAACTATGCGGTGACATTTGTTGCTATAACATAACACTTGTTCGCGAATCCTTTGCATAAAAATAAAACGAAGTGCACACGCGCGCGTCGTCGCGAGCGCATGCCGAAATCCTTCAAAAACTTTCGGTGCCGGAAGGATTTCGCAATCGAGTTCCAAAAAAAAATACAAAAACACATGGTTTCGCAACACTGATGTGCTAAAAAAACTTCCGCGAAAGCTCTTGCGAAATCCTAAGAAAACCATGGGTTTTTCAAGACTTGCATAAAATGTTACCAAACGGGCTTCGCGCGCGCGCATGTCGAAATCTGTCGAACGCCCTTGCGCGTGTGCCGTCGCGAGAATCCTCTGCAAAAAAAGGGACGAAGCGCAGACGCGCGCGTCGTCGCGCGCGTACGCCGAAATCCTTCAAAACCCATCGGTGTCGGAAGGATTTCGAAATCGCGCGTCCACAAAACCTACAAAAAACCCAGGTTTCGCAACATGGATTTTCAAGAAAAGCGTGCGCGCGCGCTCTTGCGTCGTCGTCGTCGTCGTCGTCGCCGTCCTCCCTCCTCCCGCGTCGTTGTCGTCGTCGTCGTCGCCTACGTCGTCCTCTGTCTTTCCTCGTGTTCGTCGTTGTCGTCCTCTTTGGCGTCGTGGTCGTTTCCGTCGTCGTTGTCGCCGTGGTCGTTCTTCCTCCTCCTCCCTCGTCGTCGTCGTCGTTCGTCGTCGGCGTCTCGTCGTCGTCCTTCCTATTTCGTCGCCGTCGTCGTCGTCGTCGTCGTTCTTGTCGTCGTCGACGTCTTCCCTCCTCCCTCGTCGTTGCCGTCGTCGGCGTCGCCGTCCTTCCTCCTTATTCGTCGTTCGCGTCGTCGCCGTCCTCCCTCCTCCCTCGTCGTTGTCGTCGTTGTCGCCGTTGTCGCCGTCGTCGTCCTCCCTCCTCCCTCGTCGTCGTCTTCGTTGGCGACGTCGTCGTCGTTTCGTCGTCGTCGTCGGCGTCGGCGTCGGCGTCGTCGTCGTCTTCGTCGTCGTTGTCGGCGTCGTCGTCGTCGCCGCCGTCGTCGTCGTCGTCATCGTCGTCGGCGTCGTTGACGTCGTCGTCGTCGTCGGCGTCGTCGTTGTCGTCGTCGTCGGCGTCGTCATCGTCGTCGTCGTTGTCATCGTCGTCGTCGTCGTCGGCGTCGGCGTCGTCGTCGTCGGTGTCGTCGTCGTCGTCGTTGTCGGCGTCGTCAAAATCGTTGGAGACGTCGTCGGTGTCGTCGTAGTCGTTGTCGGCGGCGTGGTCGTCGTCGTTGTCGCTGTCGTCGTCGGCGCCGCTGTCATTGCCAAGTGCAATTTGGTACCCACCGTCACGGTCTTAAGAGATTTTGCAAACCAAGTTGCGGGTGGGTGGGTGGGATGTTTGCGCGAGCAATGGAGTGGTCAAGCGCGGTGCAGGGTAGTCAATTACGCCACATAGATTTTCCTTTGTAAAAAGAGAATAGGCTCTACCCCCCCCCCGGACTTATCGGTTCCCCCATAGGATATTATGATTGTATATATATATATATATATATATATATTATGTACTGTCGTCCATCCTAAATATAAAATCGTTCCATCCCAGCCAGGCCGGGTTCCCCCCCTGCGGTTCCCTTGCTGTTTATATTATCCTATACATATACATATAAAATATGCGGTGATATTTTTGTTTCTAATATAACACTTTTTCGCGAATATCTTGCAAACATGAAACGAAGTGCACGCACGCGCGTCGTCGCGCGCGCATGCCGAAATTCTTCAAAAACCTTCGGTGGGGAAGGATTTCGCAATCGAGTGTCCAAAAAACATACAAAAACACAGGGTTTCGCAACACAGAGTTGCTAAACCAATTTCCGCGAAAGCTCTTAAGAAATCTTAAGAAAACCATTGGTTTTTCAAAACTTTCATAAAATGCTACCAAACGGGCTTCGCGCGCGCCCATGTCGAAATCTGTCGAACGCCCTTGCGCGTGTGCCGTCGCGAGAATCCTCTGCAAAAAAAGGGACGAAGCGCAGACGCGCGCGTCGTCGCGCGCGTATGCCGAAAACCTTCAAAACCCATCGGTTCCGGAAGGATTTCGAAATCGCGCGTCCAAAAAAAAAAAACCTACAAAAACACAAGGTTTCGCAACACAGATGTTCAACTAAAGCGTGCGCGCGCTCTTGCGTCGTCGTCGTCGTCGCCGTCCTCTCTCCTCCCGCGTCGTTGTCGTCGTCGTCGTCGCCTACGTCGTCCTCTATCTTTCCTCGTGTCCGTCGTCGTCGTCCTCTTTGGCGTCGTGGTCGTTTCCGTCGTCGTTGTCGCCGTGGTCGTCCTTCCTCCTCCTGCCTCGTCTCGTCGTCGTCCCTTCTATTTCGTCGCCGTCGTCGTCGTCGTCGTCGTTGTCGTCGTCGTCGTCTTCCCTCCCCCCTCGTCGTTGCCGTCGTCGGCGTCGCCGTCCTTCCTCCTTCTTCGTCGTTCGCGTCGTCGCCGTCCTCCCTCCTCCACCGTCGTTGTCGTCGTTGTCGCCGTCGTCGTCCGCCCTCCTTCCTCGCTGTCTGCGTTGGCGACGTCGCCGTCGTCTTCGTCGTCGTCGTCGGCGTCGGCCTCGTTGTCGTCTTCGTCGTCGTCGGCGTCGGCGTCGTCGTCGTCGCCGCCGTCGTCGTCGTCGGCGTCGTTGACGTCGTCGTCTTCGTCGGTGTCGTCGTTACCGTCGTCGTCGGCGTCGCCGGCGTCGTCATCGTCGTCGTCGGCGTCGGCGTCGTCGCCGTCGTCGTCGTCGTCGGTGTCGCCGTTGTCGTCGTTGTCGGCGTCGTCGAAGTCGTTGGAGACGTCGTCGGTGTCGTCGTACTCGTTGTCGGCGTCGTCGTCATCGCCGATGTCGCCGTCGTCGTCGGCGTCGTTGTCGTTGCCAAGTGCCATTTTGTATTCACCGTCACGGTCTTAAGAGATTTTGCAAACCAAGTTGCGGGTGGGTGGGCGGGATGTTCGCGCGAGCAGCGGGGTGGGCAACTCACTGCGAACATAAATTAGGTCCACCACCTAGGTTGCACCACATCGGTTGCGTCACATAGAGATTGACGTCGGTCCACTCTGGCTGGCACTGATGACGGCGAAGACGACAAGGACGACAGAGACGAGGACAAGAGCGACGACGACGACGATGACGACATGAACCGCGGACGACGACGACGACGACGACGACGACAATGCTGAGGCGCAGGAGACGGCACCACGATACCATCATTCGTTTACGCGCGCAGGAACTTCGCGCAATGTTGCCGCTCTGTCACTGGTGGCCGCCAGGAAAAACAAAGTAACGAGTATGAGTCAAACTCAGACTGCTGCGAACACCTCATGCTCATACTGCGCCAAATCGCGCACGAGGCCAAACTAAACAGTGGATATGGAACCATCGTCTCTCCGTTTGTTTATCCTCCCTCCGACCCTACGTTCCTCATTCCTCCTCGGTTCCTCCTCGGTCCTACTCACTTCTCGCTCCTCATTCCTCCTGCCTCATGTCTCCACCCATCGTTTACTCATTCCTCAGTCCTCCTCACCCTTCATTTCGAACCTATCTTCTGCTTACCTACGCGCCTCAACCAAAGAGCCCTCCTGGAACTGCGCGGCGGGGGCAGAGTCTTCCTCAAAGGGCGGCTGGGCGCCGTCCTCGCGCAGCGCATCATGCAACTCTGCCTGCATAGCGGGGCTCGCCACGGGGCCGAACGCCGAGGCCCTAAACACGGGGATCCTAGAAAGGCCGCCGCTGCCGAAGACCCTCGAGGCCAACCTGGGACGAGAGCTGGTTGAAACATTGACGTTTGCGTTCTCTTGGTCCAATAAAGAGGCGCCCGCAAGCTGAGACTCTACGACTGTGGGCGCTGCTACTGCTGCCGCAGCCTGATGCCCCAGGGGTGGCCCCACTGGCAACAATGGGGTCGGACTCCCGGCTGCTGGCCGGGGGCTCGGCGCGACGTCGGCAGGCGGCACAACTGCCACAGACGGCTGCACTGGAGCAGGGTGCGCGCGCACGGCCGAATCTAAAGACTGCTGAAAAGGCAAAGCCTGCGACCAATTTTTGGCAGCATCATGTCTTACAGGCCCTGTGACCGATGCGCCAATGAACTCAACTTATGATGAACCCTCTCCGTCGTCACCTGTCTGTTGTTTATCGAGAACTCATGACGCCTCTGCGTCGCCAACTGCCGTAAGTTGTTGCTTTGAACGCAATGATGATGCGGCGGCCTCCTGGATGCGCTGCCTGGACACGAATTTGATCTCAGCTGTAATATGCAACTTCTGGTGGCCCTCGAGGTGATCGGGAAGATCGTCTATGACCACCTCAAGCCTCAACGTGGACCCCCTGACCTTGAGCGCGGCCGCCGGTGGCGCGGCTACTGCGCCATGCGGAGGCTGACTCACTGGGAACTGTGAGGTGTGTACACGCAGAACCCACGCAATCGCATGGAAGTGATCGAGAAAACAAAATCGCGCTGCTGAAACGACAATGGAAACGGCGATGATGAGAGGCAAATTCGCCTCCAATTGTGAGTGCTGTAGAACAAGAATTCGTCTGGCTATCAAAACAAGAACCGTCACCGACCTCGAAATCCATCGCGATTGTCAGAACGCGCCCCTGGAATTGTACCGTGCCACATACCCTTGCCGTCTCGTAGCCTTGATATGCGTGAGCACTCGTGTTACATGTCTGCTCGTGCACGCCCACCAGAGCCGACCCAAAATAACATGTTCAGAAGCTTCAAGGACCAAGACAGCCCTACATGGGCCCCAAGACAGCCCTACATAGGCCCCAAGACAGCCCTAAATCGGCCCCAAGACAGCCCTACACGGGCCCCAAGACAGCCCTACATGGGCCCCAAGACAGCCCCACATGGGCCCCAAGACAGCCCCACATTGACCCCACGACAGCCCTACATGGGCCCCAAGACAGCCCTACATGGGCCCCGAGACAGCCCTACATGGGCCCCAAGACAGCCCTACATGGGCCCCGAGACAGCCCTACATGGGCCCCAAGACAGCCCTAAATCGGCCCCAAGACAGCCATACATGGGCCCCAAGACAGCCCTACACGGGCCCCGAGACGGCCCTACATGGGCCCCAAGACAGCCCTACATGGGCCCCAAGACAGCCCTACATGGGCCCCAAGACAGCCCTACATGGGCCCCAAGACAGCCCCACATGGGCCCCAAGACAGCCCCACATTGACCCCACGACAGCCCTACATGGGCCCCAAGACAGCCCTACATGGGCCCCAAGGCAGCCCTGCATGGGCCCCAAGACAGCCCTACATGGGCCCCAAGACAGCCATACATGGGCCCCATGGCAGCCCTACATGGGCCCCAAGACAGCCCTACACGGGCCCCAAGACAGCCCTACATGGGCCCCCAGACAGCCCTACATGGGCCCACAGACAGCCCTACATGGGCCCCAAAACAATCATTTTAAGGTATTGGGGTTGTAAAATGTTGGGGAATTGGGCTCTTCAAGTTCTGACGGCCCCGCGTTTTGTGGCAACGCGGTTCTGCGGCAATAAAACGTTAAATCGTGGGGGTCGGAAGTTCTGTTGCATATTGAAGGCACCAGGGGCTCCAATAGAAATGTTATGGGGCTTATGTTTTCAAGGCTGCGGGGCATTTGTTCAGCCGCGGGGCACTGGGACCAAGGTGCTGGAGCCCTATGGGTTTACAATCTTGGGGCTTCGTGTCTTAGTAGTTTGAAAGATTCGGGCATCAGGGCGTCAGGGTGGGCGTCGAGCTCTTGTCGGGACGGATCTTAAGGCCGCACGGTCTCAGGCCCCCAGGGTTTTAGATTATCAAAGCATTTGAGCCTAAGGTTAGTCGGGCATTAAGGCATTCGGGCGTTGGGCGCTACGGGGGAGGGGGCGGGGGGGGCAGGTACTGCGGCATTCGGCGCTCAAGTCCTAGGGCCCTAGGGTCGGCCGCATTGGAACCCTGCGGAAGTAATTGCTTACGGTCGCAGGGGCCCTGGCCCAGCGGGCCTTCGGGCCCAGTGGTGTAAAGGCACCGGGGGCGAAATATTCTGCAGTTCATCATCGCATGATACTACGACTCTGTGGCACCCACGCATTAAGGCATGAGGGTCGTTGGCGCTAGGGCTTCAACAGTTTCAGTCTCGGGGAACCCGGGCCCTTGAGTCTCAGGGACTTAGGATCTCAGAGTCTCACGCGCCCAAGCCCCTTTGGGTTGCAAGGGCTGTAGGGTTTCATGGCCTGAGGTAAAGGTAGTAAACGATTGGGGCATCGGTGTCCTAGGGTACGAGTTTACTCGTTTATGGATGTATCAGTGTCTAAGGGCGCGGTCTGAGGGCTCCCCTCGAGCGCGCCCGAGAGCCCCGCGCTCGCGCGCCCCGAACGGCTCGTCGGCGCCAGGCGCCCAATTCCGCTGGGGGGGCGCCGAAGGCGAAGGCGCGACGCGCGCGCGCGCTCGGGCCCCTGACGGGGCGCGCCGACGAAGGCCGCGGCCGCCGCTGACATCGGCCGACAAGACGTGCGAAGGGGCGCGCGGCATCCCCCCGTCGCGTCGATTGGCGCCCGCCGCCGCGGCCCCCAGGGGGCGCTCGCGCGGGCCCGCGCGCGCACTCGCGCGGCGGCCCTCGAACCGCGTCGGAGAAGATATGTATATATATATATATATATATATGGAAATATATTAATATACATATATATATATATATGAATACATGTATAATTATATATATATGAAGAGAGAGAGAGAGAGAGAGAGAGAAAGAGAGAGAGAGAGAGAGAAAGAGAGAGAGAGAGAGATGGGGAGAGAGAGAGAGAGAGGAGAAACAAAAAAAAAAAAAAAAAAAAAAACGTGAGTCTTGCGCGCCGCGCACGATGCGCGGGCGTGCCGCGAGTTCATGCGCGGTTCCGTTGCCGCTGGCGTCAGCGATCCACGAAACGGACGGGTGGCGAGGGCGGGTTTTGAGGGAGGGGCAGATGGACAAAATTCAATGATTTGCTTCACCCTCGCTCACTTCAGGTTAGGTTTCAAGCGCATGCCAAATGCATTCCAAAAATGTTCCTAATTGCCCAAATTCGATCCAGACACATTTCACGCAGGTTTCAACTACGTTTCAAATGGGAGCCACATCGGCGCCATATAGCGCCACATTGGCGACATCTAGGTTTCAAATTCGACCCCGTTCCGATCCGCAGGGCATTCGCAGCACTTTCGAACTGCCCCCCCCCCCCCCCTCCCCCCTACCCCACACACACACAGCACCACCACCACCACCACCATCCACGCGCACCCGCCCCGACCCGCGACATATGTTTGCAAATGGCCCGTCGCCCCCGACTGACTTTCCCAAATAGGCCCCAAATAGCCCGGGGTCCTCGACTGACTTTTCGAAATAGGTTTCAAATAGCCCCCCCCCTCCTACCCCCCTAACAAAATAGGTGTTATGTATGCGGCTGCAATTCAGCGGTGTAAAGATTAGCTATTGTGTTGCTATTGCGGCTCCAATTTAGGTTGGATTTAGCTGGTTTGGCTTTAAGTTTGCTTTTTATTTTGCTCGCCCATCCTGGTGGGGGGGAAGGGGTCGCCCTCGCCCCCTTTGAACGTTGCCCCCCCTCTCCCTCCTCCGATTGCAATTTGTCTGATAACTGTCCCCCCCCCGCCCCCCTCTGTCGGTTTTAAATGCGTTCGCGCGTTTGCCCCCCCCCCCCCCCCCCCCCGCCCCCCCCCCCCCCCCTGTCGGTTTAAATGTTGCTTGTATTGTGCCCCCCCCATCCCCCGCCCCCCATGGCACTTTCTTTGGCGTTGGCTCAGCCCCTTCCATCCTCTCCCGACGCCCCGCCCGAACGCGCGCGGCGCCCCGCGATGGGCCGCCGCGGCGCCGCCGCCGCGGACAGGTCGGAGCGACGGGTTCGCGCACCGCACCGCGATGCGAGAGCGAGCTGTTGGGGGGCTCGGGCGCCGCCCCGCGACGCGCGAGCGCGACGCGCGGAAGCTGCCCAGGAAGTCGCGCGCACTCGAGGTTGGCGCGGGGGGGATGGCGCGCGCGCGGCGCAGATCGCGGCGGGCTCGGCCGCCGCGACGACGCCGAGGAAACGCGGCAACGCGCCTTCTGGCGCGGGAGCAGCGAGGCGACGCCAGCGCCTGCGAGGCGGCGACGGGCGCGCGCGACGTCGAACATCACGAGGGGGGGGGCGCGCGGGGGGCGGAGGGCGGGGGGGGAAGGGCGCGCATAGCCAGGCGAACGAACGCAGACGGCGCGCGGCGCGCGCAATCGACGCGCGCTCGGCACTGTCGCGATGGAGCGATGGCACTCTGTCATCAGATGTGGACGGCGCCCGAGAGGTTCTCACCCACCAGGCGCGGCAACAGTCGGAAACTTCTGCGCCACAGGACCGACAGCGTCTGAGATGCCCTTTAACCTCAGCGGAATCCCCAGACAGCTCGCCGCCTGAGCTCCACGGCCAGCCCGGACGGCCGATATAAGTCGGGCGTAGCCACGCCGCGCGCATGCGTTGCGCCCTCGGCCGCCGAGATCACAACGCCCTCCCATTGGGTGCGCCAAAAGTTGCGCCCCCGACTGCGGCGAATGAAACATCCGCTGGTTGGTTGCGCCAGTGGTTGCGCCCTCGGCCGCCGAGATCGCAACGCCCTCCCACTGGTTGCGCCGTAGGCGGCGCTCTCGGCGCCGAGAAGAAAGAGCCCTCCGATGGGGTTCAGCCGTTGAGAAGAAACGGCCCCCACATTGGTTGCGCTATAGGTTGCGCCCTCGGCCGATCAGAATAAGGCGGCCTCCCATTGCTGGCGCCATGGGATGCGCCCCCGGCCGCCGAGAATGAAACGCCCGCAGCTTGGTGGGGCCATGGGCCATCGGTAGCGCTCTCGCCCGCCGAAAATCAAGCGCCCTTCTAGAATGTGCGACCAGCCAGTCCTGTTCATTCATTTCAAAAAATGACCTCGCGAGGAACAAGCGCGGACCACGTCGGAAAACAACCGAAGACCGCTTTGCCACCAGAGGCCAACATCGGGAGCAAGCAAACTTGTTCTGGCACCATACGATCTCGACGTCTCCATCTTGGCTGGAAATACAGCAGAGAACGTCCGCTCCTGGTGCCCAAACAAACCCGACTGTCTCCAACGTGGAACTCAAGTTTCACTTATATGTCCGACCGTTTCTGTGGCCAGAAAAATAATAACGGACCCGCTGCGGGTTCAGATTAGCGCCGTCTGCCCAAGTGGCAACAACGGGCCCATTACCGGTTCATTCGCACCAGCGCCGTCGGGCAACAAAAACAGACCACCGCGGGGCCCGTTAGAGGTTCAGACGAGCGCACAGTCTGCCAGAAGGACAAGAACTGACCCACCACGGGTTCAGAGTTCAGCCGTCTGCCAGAAGGGCAATGCGGGGCCCATTTGGAGTTCATATTCGATCCGCATGCCAGAAGGACAACAACAGACCCACGATTCGACAGAAATGCTAATGCACTTCGCACACCCAGCAAGTGCGCACATCCCTTTGCAACTGTCATCGTTACATGGTTCACAAAACATCGAAAGAAGTTGCAAAATATAAAGCACATATCACAGCCATACGGTCATGCCATATCAGATTGCCTGTGGGTGTCAGCGCAATGTAAATATGCTAACATGATTACGGGCGCATGCGATCGTAATTCTTACCATAGAAGATACCAAGAGCGATGATCCATGACTATGTCATACATCACTGCTCGCTCACTTGTATGCAGTACGTATGTTGCGCTACATTTGATCACCCCGCCACCGTGCCTGGGGTTGGCGCCAACAGCTTTTCGGGTGCACATGTTGGGGTCATTGGGGTCGTTGTTCCTCCACCTGTTGCACGTTTTGAATGCCTCCTGGGGCTGGTGGGGTGCCCTTTGGTGTCTCTTGGGGGCCTCCTGGTACCATCTTGGCTCGTTAGAGCTACCTGGGGCCGTGGGGCCTCCAGGGCCTCTTTGGGGCCTCTGATGGCCGTGTTCTGGTTTTGTTGTTGGCCTCGCAGTGCCTCGTTGAGGCCCCCTTGGGGTCTTCTCGGGCACTTCGTGGGGGCCTCTTGGGGCCCCTTTGGGGTCTTCCCGCAACGGAAGCCTCCATTGTTCTCCTTCGGCGGATGGCACGGCCAACAGTGCGAGCAAATGAATGGCTGAGCATGGCCAGGAGCAACAACAGAAAGCGTGACCATAGTCAATCGCCTAAGTTATTATCACGGCACACGGGCGTCTCCCTGAAACGAATAGACTGCACTGCTGATAACCAATGAACAGAGGCCGTGGCAGCAATCGGCCTAGCGCTGATACTTGATAACCAATGAACAGAGGGCGCGGCGCCAATCGACTAGTCTAGCCGCCTGCAACTGCAGCCGCGCCCGCCGCAGACGGCCTGTGCAGCACGGGTGCTGGGGGCGGCCTCGGGACAGGCGGCGGCGCTTACGGGTGGTTATGGTAAGCGGCCCACGGCTGGTTGAGAGCCCTGTTGATCCGAGTGCGCTGGCGCCCCATGGTGTCGCGAAGCCGCTTGAGAGTCCGCTCGTACATCTTCATCCGCCGCCTCAGCGCGATGGTCAAGTTGCGCTGAGCCCCGTGTTTGTTCACCAACCTTTGGTACACCGAACGTGGAACATAGCGGTCCTGCGCCTGCGCCGCCTTTGGCGGCATATCCGAAATTCACTAAACAGAACACCGAGCGATCAAGAATTTGATCCAAAACGGAGGCGGGCGAGGGTGAGGGTGGCAGCGGGACAGGACAGAAGCACACGCAGGATGCAGCATGCATCCATCGCGTTGCAACTCGCGCTATCGCCCCAAGACCATCCCCAGAAGTCCATGCATAAATACATTGACCTGTCAGCCCGTCACGGCTGGAAGCGCGCCCTCGAATGACGGGTGCCCCATGTACGAGATTGGCAATCCTATCAGGGAGCTCCACTTTGCGAAACAATCGCCCTCCGCCCGTGCAAGCGCCGCATTTATTTTGTGACTGGCAATGACACGTGAGGACGTCTCAAGCGAACGCCCGTTTCCGGGGCAGGAACCACCCTCCATCCGCGTGCCAAAAGCACAAGTCTCAACTTATGGTACACACATAAGAACGCTGAACCGAAAGCCCCAATTTAGAAAAGGAGGGAGCGGACACGGCAACAGCACAATTTCACGCCCACGCTTGGAAGACGGATGATTTAGGAGGACGGTTCAGGACAAGGGTGGAGGGCCCAGGGGAGATTGTGGAGGAAGTTCATTTATATCAGGGCTGATCTAAAGGCCCCAACTGCTCGCCATCGCGAGGGGGCCTCTCGCGGGCCAAGAGGGCCTGAATTGCGGGATCCGGATTTCCCGTCAAAGTCCCCCGAGCATCAAGGCGGTCGGCGTGAGAAATATACAGCCCTGCACAATGCAAGCGCTTAGTTGTATGATTGCGGCCCTGAGAGAGCCACATTGCGAGGAATCCTAGAGGTCGGCCCTGTGCAGGGCGCCTGCCAGGATACGCCATTCTTTCACGGCTGCACCTAGCGTGCCCATTACCTTCGCACGTTGCAACAAAGCTGTCACCTTTTCCGATACCATGTTATCTTACCACCAGGGACATGCGCAAACACCTCTGCTGGCGCATGGGCGACACCTCCACCGCCCACTCCTGATACTACCCCTCCGCCTTGCACTCCATCACCTCCTCCGACCCCGCCTCCACCTGACCCCTGAACGCCGCCGCCTGCCCCTCCACCAGGCACAGGGCCGCCAATGCCTTCGGAAGCCTTCTCGTCAGACATGCGGTCGGGGTCGCCGTCGCTAGAGGATGACTCCACGTCAACATCGACACCTGCAGAACCTCCATGACCCCCACCTCCGCCCTCCACGCAACTGCCGCTACCGCTATACCAGAAGAGATCATCTATGTATGATTCGGGGTGAATGCTGGGAGCTGGCACGCGCTGGCTGTCGCCGCCTCCGCCGCCTCCGTGGCCATCGTCGGACTCGGGGTCGGTGGGCGGCTCCAGTTCCTCGTGACTAGCACGTTCGGGTTCACCACCCTCCTCTCCCTCGTCGTTGCCGTCGCCACCGCTATCTCCACCGTCTCCTTCGTCGCCAGCTCGCCCCCTGCCGTCTGAATACGCGTTTCGTTTCTTTTGCCGCCGACGGAGGAAGGCGCTGAGCTTGGAGAGGCCATCTCGGCCACTCCAATACCGAATAGGGCCATGGCCACCGAATCGCCGCGCCATTTGCTTGGCGGGATGAATAGCGGCCACGCGGTCTGCCCCGCCGACGAACTCGTAGAGCCGAACGCTCCACAATGTGTCCTCGCCGAAATCGCGAAGCAGATCCCTGAAATAGAAATGCCTCCTCTCCCACTTCGCCTGCATGGTGATGTGGATCACCTCGTCGCCCGATGAATTGTCCGTGTCTGCGGGCACCAGCACGGCCTTCCACGGGTTCAGACCATGCCGAGCGATGCAACTCCAGAGCCCGATGCGGATTATATCTGGATCTTCACCGTCAGGATGTGCTGCTTCGTCAGGTCCGCGCTGCATCTGCAACGGGCCCTCACCGATGAGGACTTGACAAAAGGACGCTGTTTGAAGGTGCTGTCGCTGGGCTGCAACAGGGAACACGTTCTTGACAACGCACTCCCACTGCTGGACGTGCAAGGCTGCCGTTGCGCCAGGCCCCTGGCAAACGAACATCCCCGCCTCGAGACAATAGTTTCGGGGCGGTGGCCTGTCGGGCAACACATCGCAAAAGGCATGTCGCATGAGGCGGTGCCGCACGCCCCAGTCCGTCAGAGCTGCGGCCTTCAGTACCTTGTAGTGGCGATGCGTACTTCTCACAGACGATACTGCGCGGGCCAGCGGGAAAGTCTCGGAGCGGCGGCACAACATTCTGCCAACCATCCAGGGCCCAGGGACACATCGAAAGCATTGGTGTGCAAGCCCACCCACAGAACGAGCACGCTCCACATCAGACTTGAGCTTGGCCCCAACGGCATCCTCGAACTTCCGGGGTTGGCATCGGCACTCGGATGCGCGAGCCACGCTGTCCAGGCGCTTGTTGGAAATTGAGCTGGTTAGCGGTTAGCAGCGCCAGCGATTCCGACATCCCCTTCTCCTGGTCCAAGCGCGCCTGCAGGGCCACGACTGCATCTGCGTTACCACGCGCACATTCGTCGAGCGCAAGCCCCTGCCGAATAATCCCTCTCCTGCGTACAAGGCCGCCCGACGCATCGGCACGGCGCATCATCTTGTTTGCCTTCCAGGCGCCCATGCCGAAGGGTTCTGGTTCCCGCACTTCGCCGCGATCGTCGCTTCTTTACCTCTTTCAGCGTAGCGCGCCAACGACTCTGGACTCAAGCCCCTGCACCCGCTGCGCAGCACACTGAACCCGACCTGACCTCTCTGAGCGATCTGCTCGCTGAAGTACGCGCGACAAGCGCCGCCACTTTTCTTAGGCACGGGATCAGATTCTCCGGGCTCATCGTCGGGATGCACGCGTGAGTCGGCATCGGCGTCGGGCTTCTCCTCGACGCTGCGAATGGAAAACGAAAACCATCAACGATCTTGTGCCACCGCCGTGCATTACGGAGAACGCGTTGGCTGCTGATGAACTCCACGTGGGCGGGGCACGTCTGCTCAGCACCTCGAATGATGCACCTTCGGACCCAGGCGCGCATGTTCTCAGGCCTCGAGTTGTCTGTATCGGCCTCGGCCTCGACGTCGTCGCCGCACGTCTCGAGTAACCCAATCGTCCAGGAGCCCAGCATGCATCTCGACGTGGCCTTCAATGGTTTGCCCATGTAGGCGTGGTCCACATTCCGGATGCTTTCGAAAGCAAGCCAATAAGTGCGCATAGGGTGTGTTAAAATCATCGAAAGTACATCTTCCACTACAACTGCACCGATGGCCGCAATTACTTTGAAAGCTGATAGGTTCGCCCCACGCGGGATGGACCCAGGTGGGAGTGCTGACCACTGATCCATGCCCGTGCTCGACAACAAGTGGCTCACGCTCTTCAAAAACGCATCCTCGAGCTCACCATTCACCATCGACTGAAGGCGCGGCGATGCGAGGATATTAGTGATACCAGTGACACTGGAACTTGAAGAAACCGAAACCGCCGCCCTGACGTACTGCGTCTCCTGAGCATCCGTACTCGTCTTGTCCAGGATGCGATACATATGCGTTTGCTGGGGATCTATAAACACCGATAGGAGAAGCATATTCTGCGGGAGTGACTTGTCACTGCATGCTCTCCAACCCTCCTTCAAGTGATATGCCATAGCCTTGCGATCGAATGCCGCAGCGTCAGCGCCAGCCTTCTCGATGGACACGAGCGGCAAGCCAACGCAACCACCACCTTCTTTTTTCACCCTGCTCGGGGCCCCCATTCGATGCCCCGTGGCCGGTTTAAAACGGGAGGGGGGGCCAGTGTTTCTTAAACATATGTATTTCAACCCCGCCAAAGGTACCCCCCCCTAGCCGTTGCCCACCCCGGAAAACTTATCTGGCGGTTGCGCGAGCTCCCGATTCGGCCCCTCCGAAAACTTTGCGGGCGCACCCGCCGAGCCACTTGGAGCATCCGCATCCGCCACGCGCCCCAGAACATCCAAGATCGCGCGGCGGTCGTCGGCACGAGGATGGGCTTCGAGCGCAACACGTTCCTCAGCGTAAACGATGAAGGCTCGCTGCCATAGCCCGCGCACCTGCATCGGGAAGCCCATCACTCTGATTGATTATCGGGCCTTCGTCCACCGAGACCGTGGAAAAGCAAAGACGCCAAGCTGCATGATTGCGTTGGCGAAGTGCTTGATTGCCCAGAAGCGAAGCTCGGCCTCAGAAGAATTGAAATCCGACGTGTACACCTCGAACACGCCTGGTCTCCTCCAGTCCCCATTTGCAACTTTGAGAGCCACCATGCGCGCCCTCTGCAGAGCAATGTTTGCGGTGGATACAGGCAGGAACACGCCTGCCACAGCTTGGCGATGAAGGTGCGCGTCAAGAGGTGTCACGCCGCACTTAAACCTGAAACTGCCCGGGATGACCCGACGTAGTATTATTTTGAAATCACTCTTGCTCCCAGGAGCCTCAAACACCTTTGCCAAATGGTATTGTGAAACCAGGACGCCGTCGAATATTGTGCCAACACTTCTCTCCTGGACGCCTTGGGCCATATGCAGCCTGCATGTCCTGTGAGAGCCCTCTGTCACGGGGCCAAGTGACCGCTCCGCTCGTGCAATGGGGCCGTCGCCGTCGGACATGCACGCGCGGCCGTACCGATTGAACAAGCTTTTCAACTCATCGAGGCCGTGAGCGTGGAGATTGGCAAGAGACGCACACACCTCTCCAGTGCTCCTGTCCACGCTGCTCAACGTCGTTGGCACTGCAGTTTGCAGATGAAGAAAGCGACGCACACCTGGCCCATTCCCAGGGCCTCTGGAATAAATCGGCATCTCAAAGACCGCGCCAAGTTTCAGCTCATATGCAACGATATTCCCTTTTGGCCCAACGTCGTCCTCAACGATGTTATACATGACGTGCTCGCTGATGTTATATATTTTTTATCTGGCCGCTCGGATGACAGGATCGTCGATTGTCGTCTCATGAGTCACTCTGTGGTACATCGGCGCCTCGCCCGTGGACGCGCGAACCGACAAGCGCAAACACCTGCCGCCAGAGGCATTCGTAGCTGAGGCAACGGTTTTGATGGCATGAATAGCGCGCTGCCGCGCAATGTGGTCTACGCAAGTCGCACGAAACGAAACGCGATTCATCGCGACATCATGGCGCATTGCAAGGTCATCTGAAAGATATGTCAACGGCCTCGGCGCCTTGGCACACATATGCTTGTCAATGAGCTCACAGAAACTGCCATCAATGGCACCAGCAACTTGGTCAAGACCAGCCAGAAGTTAAAACAGAGCCTATCTTCACCAGGCCATAACCGAGCTCGACGTTCTGATCCATGAGACTTTGCAACGCCTCTTCCACCGCGGCGTCCAGATCAGAGGGGGAAGGCGAGCCCACGGCGAGGTCGAGCTGCGACGGAGGGGCCAACAGAGCTCCGTCATCAACTGCGACGGGCACCACCGCCATTGCTTGATCAAGATCGGCCCCCTGAGGGTCGCCATCCGCCCCGCCAGCCTCCGAGCCCCCGAGCGCATCTGCCAGCGCAGCGTCTAAGCTGCCAGCGGCCGCTCCAGAACACATAACTGGCAATCTCAGCATCCAAGCTGCTTGCGCCAACATCTGCAGCTCGAATACCACAAATCAGATCGTCAAGCGATTGCATTCCACAAAATGTGCCATGACGAAACAGGAGGAGGCCTAGATAACGTTTTGAGCCAAAACGGCAACACTGCACCACGTGAGAACATCTGTCGAACGAAAGGCAAGAATGTTCAATTGAGACGTCCACGCGATGTCACCCGCCAAATGAGACCATATGTCATATGTCGAGACCAAGGGCACAAATACTCAATTGAGAAGTCAACGTGCACGGCACAAGTGTGGTTGCTCACCCAAGATGGCCCCCCCTAGGCGGCCCCCCCTAAACGGCTCCACCTAGACGCCCCCCCCCCCAGAAGGCCCCCCCAAGACGGTTCCCTAAGTCATTTGAGACGTCCACATGCACGCAATCTCCATAGACGGCCCCCCCTAGACGGCTCCCCCTAAACGGCCCCCCCCAGACGGCCCCCCCCAGACCCCCCCCCTAGACGGCCCCCCCTAGACGCCCCCCCCGAGACAGCTCCCACATAGATTGCACCACGTAGGTCGCACCACATATTGCACCACATAAATTGCACCCACCACATAGGGGCGCAAACATGCTTCCAACAAATCTTCAGTCACAAACGCTCGCAACCAGTAACAATTAGATGAGTTGGAAAGCAACTGCGCCATTCCCCAACGGGGACTTTCCAAAGCTGGCGAATAGCGCCCGAGGGACAGATGGGGGCCAGCGGGCTTATGGGCACCAAGGGACCCGTGGGGGGCAAGGGCCCTACGGGCGGGAACCAAGAGGCAGTTGTGGGCCTCCATGAACCCCAAAGTAGGGATTATGGTCATGATGAGCGGAGGGGGGTCCAGGGAATCGCCCCCCAAACAGTGCTGTCCAAATTACAACGGGTTTCGCGCCACGACGCCCCCGAATAGATATCCCAGAACCAAGGAATGAGGGGGGGCATAGACACCATTGCATTGTTCCCGAAGCCCCCATGCTGCTGCACATCGGCAGCCCCCAATTCGAATACAATGGCCCGACTCTGGGGCTTATTGAGCCGAGAACGGCCCCCTATGTGAACTACACCGAGAAACCAGAACCAACGCAAGGCTCCTATTTGAAAATTAAAACTTATTTTTCAAAACCTACCAGAAAGCTATTTTCGAGCTATTTAAATTGTATTTTGCTGTTTTCTTGAAAACACTAGTCTCTGTCACTCCGTGACTACAAGGCACCGCCGCGTCCACTGCGGACGCGAAGCTGGGCACGCTGCCCGGCACCGGCACGAGATCTGGCCGAGGCGCCCCCAGGCCAGGGACCGGTCGAGAAGCCTGTGCTTGCTCTTGCTGCGGCGGGGCCCCACTGGGCACGCCCCCATCTTCCGCCGCGAGGGGTGGCGCCGCGAGCAACGGACCCGCCCGCGCACGATCTGCACCAGCGAAGCGGAAGTCGGCGACGACGTCGGCGCTGGACCGCGCGCAAAGCGGGCGTCTGCGTCCTGCATCAGCTGCAGATGGCACGCGCGGTGCAAGATGAGGCGGCAATGCAGGCGCACCACCATCTCGCCGCGCAGGAAGGCCTCGAGGCAGACAGGACACCCGCTATCATCGCCTGACGCCGCTGCCAGTCCTGCTGCCGCAAGGCTGCGCGCTGTGGAGCTCGTCGAGGCGCCGTCGCTGCGCGCGGTCGATGGCGGCGCCCACGTCGCGCTCGGACTGGCCGCCGCTGGCCGTCCAGGTATCGCGGCCGGCGAACCGCATGGCCACCCCCCCTGACGGTTGGCCCACGTCGACGTGGCTGTTCTGTTTGATCAGAGCCAGCTCCTGGGGAGGCTCGGGCACAGGCGTCGACGCGACTACTCGCGCGGTTTGCGGCGGCCACGCGGAGCTCGATCCACGCGGGGCGCCGACGCCAGGGGCGGAAACGGCGGGCGAGGAGGCCCAGGCGAGCGCGCGTCGAAAGGACCCCCCCCCAACACAGATACCGGGAGTGGCACGGCGCTCGCACGGCCGCAGCCCCGCCGCGGGACAGCCCCGCCAAAGCGAGAGAGGACCCCGAAGACAGCAGCCTCGCGGAGAAGGGCAGCGGCGCAGCGGCGGCGAAGCGTCGAGGAAGCTGGAGGAATGGACAAGGAGCGGGGACGAAGGGGGGGCGGTTGGAGGGGGGGAATGGGGGGCGGCGGAGGAGCACAGCCGCGCGGACTTGGACAGTGCCCAACTCAAGAATTCGCGCTTGCAGGGCGCAGCTTGCCGCGCGGCGCTGAATGCCGCGCCGCGAGCGACCTGGGCAGAAGGGCGGGGGCGAAGCGCTTCGCCGCCTGCCGCGGCACGGCAAAGCGAAAAAAAGATGCGGCGCTACGCTGCGCCGCGCACCCGGACCGACCGCGGCGAGCGAAAGCCGGCCGCGTCGGACGCAGGGGGAGGCAACGCACCCCCTGGGCGCAACAGACGAAGGCGTTGCCACTGCGATACAATAGCCGCAGGCACGCGCACGGCCGTGGAAGAAGACGGGCCCGCGCGTCGAAACAAAGATATCGCCACGCAGCGCGGCGCGATTGCAACGCAGAAAACGCACACGCGCGCGACAACACGAAACCGCCGCCACGCAACGCAGCGCGACTGCGAGGCAGAACAGGGGCGCGTCGCAACAAGAATACCGCCGCACTGCGCCGCACGACTGCGAAGCAAACAAAATGCGTCGAAACGACGATGCAGCCAGCGCAGAATGACTGCGAAGCCGCAGCACAAGCGTCAACCATAGGCGAAGTTACAATGAAAAATACGCCGAATACGCAGCCCGCCACGACACGAGGGCGCCGGGCAGTAAGCCGAGGGCGCCATGACCAAGCGATCCACAACTTCGCTGCGGACACGCCACAAGGCCAGCGGGCCCCCCGCCCGGCAACAATCCCAACCAAATCCCGGCCGCCGCCGGGCAATATCCCAGCCAAATCCCCGCCGCGGCCCCGCCGCGGCCCCACCGCCGCCCAGCCGCGGCCCAGCCGCCACCAAGCCGCCGCCCCCTCCGAAAAGCTGCCACCCCTCAAAAAAAGCCACCGCCAGCAAAATCCCGCCCGAATCCCCGCCGCGGCCCCGCCGCGGCCCCGCCGCCGCCCAGCCGCCGCCAAACCGCGCCCCGGCCGCGGGCCCTCTCCCCGGGGGCCCCAACATGGCTTCATGGGACCTCGCAGGAAGGAGGGGCGCGATGGGAAACAGGAAGAACGCGACGGGGGGGCATGGCTGCAGGAGGGGGGCGGCAGACCGCCCGGAGCGAGCGGCAGGAGGAACGGCAAAAAGGGCGCGAAAGGAAAGCGGGAAGGCGACGTGGGAAATACGGAGGGGGACAGAGGTGGAAGGAGGACGGATGAGGGAGGCTAGAGGGAAGACAACGCGAGCCAGGAGGAGGAAAGGATGAGGGGCCACCGACGAGGATTGAGAAAGGAAAAAAGGAAGGAAGACAAGGGCAGGGGGGAGAGGATAAGGGGCTGGGCCTGCGCAGGCCTGGGAAGACACACCAGCAACGCGAAGAAGAAGAAGAAGAAGAAGAAGAAGAGGGAACTGTTGGCGACACCGAATGCGACAGTGATAATGGAAGCAAATCAAAACATACTTGAATGGACGTTGTTGGTTCGATGCGGACCTCCGCAACAGCGATATGCAACGTTTTTGGGCCGCCGCATGTTCATCACGGCGAATGGCAGCGTCGGCGCCAGGGCCGCCGCGCGCGAGACGCACCAGAGAAAGCTCAAAAAAAATCGAATGACGAAGCGCGCGCGAACGGCCCCAAAGCGGACGCAATCGCAACGATTCGGCGCCGTTCGCTACGACGACATCGCTGGCTGCGCCAGCCTGACACAAGCACTCGCGAGAGACTGCCGCGCCATAGCCACGCTAACCGCGCATCCCAAAAAGCCAGCCGCAAGGGGAGAAAAAAAGCCACTTGCAAAGATGTGCGAGAACACGGGTGTGGCCAGCTGGATTTCGGCTGCGTTTCTGTCCGACTTACACTTGGGGGAAAATTTTCGGCCTGGGCCTCCTCAACGGCGGGCATGGACGCCCAGCTCAGCAATTGCACGTCAGCAGGCACGTCGTCTCGCGCGTTGAGGTCGCCCACCCAGTCGCGCCCCACCGCTTGTCCCAACGGGGAACGCAGCGCCCACTCGCGCCCACCGATCTTGCGTTGATTGCGGTGGCACCGTGGAAGATGCTGAGGCCGCTGGCGCTGCCGGCGCGGCTGCAACTCCAGGAGCCGCCGCGGCCGGCGCCGCCTCCCCCGCGGCCGCCGCGCGGGGCGGCGACGCAGTCGCGAGCCCGCCGGCCTCGCCGAGTCTCGCGCGCGGCCCGTGAGCCCTGCCATCTCCGGTCGCAGTCGCAATAATCCGGCGCTGAGAAGATCGGGGCGGGCGACGACGAAGACGTCGCGATGGCCCTGAGTTGCAGCGAAAACGCCCTCGGGCGCCCTTGGCGCCAGCGCCTGGCTTTAAGCATTGCAAACAGAGCCTCGATTCGCCGCGCGAACCAAAGCCCGGCAGCGCACGCAGCACCGATGCAGGGCCAGGCGGGAGCGCAACAAACCATGCGCTCCGTCGCCCCAGCGGCCCCAGCTACTTCGCGACACGCCAGGACCTCCAAGAAAGCCTCATCGACACCCATGGACGCGATAATCCAAGACTTCTTGCACGCGGCCGCGCGTGCGAGCAGTCTGTGACCCGCCCGCCTGGCTGCACCTGCAAGGCCCCCACGTCGGCGGTGTTGACATCCATGAATCCGCGAAGTACTGGGCGGAGTCTGATGGCGCGTCCCATCTCGCCCTTGCCGTCCTTCGCGAATTTCCATGTGCCCCCATATCTTGATGTCATGATGCCCATCGCGCTTCTGACCCCCTGCACCTGACAACAGTCAGTGTCGAACCGCTTCTTCAGTTCAGCGCACAAAGATTTGGCTATCTCGACAGGGGTTGACTGCATTTCGGCCCACGCTAGGAGGTCGTCTTGCTTGACAGAATCAGCTCTTTTAGACGCGGCTTACACATATACACTCAAAGTGGTTATTATCTGGCCATCGTGGAATACTTTGTGCTGTTGTTCTGCCAAGACAACGTCGGACATATCAATATTGAAAACCTAGCTCTACATGCGAACCGTGATCGTCCGAATCCAGACCGTTGGTCTCGTCGCATTCGGCGGTAAAGGGGGGGCGAAGTGCGTCTCCTCTGCGCCGCCCTGGCAACAGCCCGTCGCGCGCGAATTCCCTCGCTCCTCGCTGGCCACAGTCACAAACACATGGTCTTCGGTAAGCATCTCGGTACGTACCGTAAATAAGGACTCCACTGGAATTTCCTCCGCGAGTTTCTTCTTCCTGGAGTTCCAGGTACTGCGCTTCCAAAATATGCGCTTCCAAACCCATCTCTGACTCCTCGTTGATAGCCGGAAGTCGTCCATTGTTAGAAGCACGAGCACAGGATCGTCCTTCCTCCTGAGCGTGACCGCTCGATGGTGTCGAGCCCGCCAGTTCCTCAAACTTCGATCGATCTTTATCGAAGCCCACTGAGGGCTCTGAAGACTTGAAGCGATGGAAGATACGTGCGAGCCTGGACCCAGCGACGTCATGGATATTCAGGGCTGTACCTTCGGATTCGTAGTAGTGGAGTCACGGTGGCACGTCGCTGTCATAATATAATAGTGTACAACTGCCAACATAAGGTAGTCAGTGGATGCTCTTAACCAAGCGCACTGCTACTACGTTCTCGATCCGGAAGTAGTCGCTGGTAAGAAAAAGCCAGGCTAAGTGTAACTTCGACGACAGTCTACTCGCCGCGGCCATTTGCAGGTGACCCTGCTTAGTTGGCAGATAGCCAAACACCATACCAGGTTTCTCCGCTGGCAGGCTCGCGATAAAGGCCAGCACGGTTCGCATGGCTGTTGTGCCCGAGCCAATCTCGAGGTCAATGAATATTTCCGAGTACACTGTGTGACGCAAGTCTGGATACTGTACTAAACTTTCTCGACCGCCGACCTGTACTACTGCCTGACCTGGGCCAAAGAAATTGCGTGCGATTGGGCATGGTACATTTCATTATGCCCATTCACCATTTGTGGTGCTCGGTCAGTAGTAGTCAACGAGATCACCTGGTTGATAGTTGCATTGTCCACCTGATGTCACTTTCGTGCGCAAGGCTCGGTTAACCCTGACTACTGCCGTGGTCTGTGTAATGGCCTCGATATTCACCTCCCTGATGTTCTTCTCACCGTTGTGATCGGACGTTTCCGTCCCTCCTTCGTGATCGATCACGGGAAGGTCTGGGGGGCAAGCCGAGTGTCGGACATGTAGTACCGGGTACGGAGACTCGCCGCCATAGAACGTAAATTCACTTCAGACAAATAAGCCCGCGGGCAGTAATCGTGAAATCACCAGAGGGATATCAAGTCTCTTGAGCCCCTCCCACATAGCGTGCAGCGTATGTATTAGAATTCCGCTGCGCGCTTCAATAATCGTGGCATGTTGGCCCCTGGCCAAGTCCAAAATTACAGAGGCCAATCCCGGTTGCATGTACAACTGAAGGATGTACTGCAAAAATTCTGAAATTGAATGATCAGCCTCAAGAATGTTGCAAAGCTGGAAAGTAGACCTAGTTTCGTGCACTCCCATCTCAACTCGGCTGTTATCACTGTTATGGCGTCGATCTGTACGTTCATTGTTGACATCTGACACCCCATATTAGCTTTCACTGTTACCTATATTTCACACATAATCATGATCACAGCTATGGCTTTGAAACACCGAATACATATTAATCAACAATCGGCCCTGATCAACCAGCACATTCAATTCAATAAAATAGAAGCGGTCATCTTGCAAACTGGAACAAAAACAGAAGTCAAATAAACACAACTACCCCACCAACGAAAACACGTCATCCCACAAGTGACTGTCAGTGGCTAGAACCAACGAGCCATCTAAATCAGCACAAAGGCCCCTACAAACGAAAACACTCCTCAGCAAAACATCCAGACAAGAGGTTTGGCCGAAATAAATTTCTTCAACGGTAGGACCCCACATGAGAATCGATTTAGTGTGCCCCTCGTTTTTTTCCCATTCGCTCTGCGGAGGCCCTCCTCCCGCCCACTGTTGCGCCTCCTCCTCCTCCTCGTGATATCGCCCTCCGTCTCCTCCTCGTTCCCGAGTCCGATCCGCAGCGCAAGCGATCACCAACTTGGGAGAACGTGCCCCAGCGTCCAAGCCGCTCAAGGTTGCCTCCCATGGGGACGCCACCAAACAGCTGCGAAGGCCCAGAGGACTCCAAAAACGCCAGACGAGCCCAACGGGCCCAAGACGGCCTCAATGTGGCCTTTCGCTGATCCACAAAAACACCGACAACTTCGGCTGTTCCGTGAAACCCCAACCTGCTTCTGGACTTGGTGCCACAAAACGCTGTGGATATGTATGGGTCACTGTTTGATTTGTCGATGCTCCAGAGTAGACCGAGACGCAACATCGCTTCCGAGCTTGCCTCGATAAGTAGTCTCTGGACGGATCGGCGCGCGTGGGAGGCTTCGTGGGGATCCTTTGAGGTCCCAGCCTCGCCACTAAACATGTCTGACAAAACATGGGAACGAGCTGCAAAGGCCAATAGAAGGCGAGCTGAGCTCGTGCTCGGCACAGATGTTGATATTATCTGCGACGAGCCTTCTCGGCGAGGCCGAACGCATGGCAGTTCTGGCCTCGCAAAACAAACCTCCAACTAGAGGAAAGCAAACACGTGAAATGCGAATACTGCCATCAAAAGTTCGGCGCTCGCCCTGACACATCAGACGTGGTTGTATGACCTGAAATGTGGCGATTGAAGATTACTTCTGAATCGCAGCAACCAGCGGCGTGGAGAGCGTGTACCGCTGCGACGGAAGAACACCAAAAAACGAATTCAAAACGACCCTCTTCCCCAACAATGCCGTGAGAACCTTCCACATAGCCCTGGTCTTGGCGGCCCACTGGCGGGAATCAAGGTTTGCCGGCAATCTTCCGCTTGGTGAGAGGCAGTCGATCTCAAGCGTCGAAGAAGCAGCAGCGGCTGATACTCTCTGCCCCCCGCTTCTGCTGTCAGGCAGGCTGGGGGGGGGGTCCTTCCTGATCCGCCCGCTTGCGCTTGAAGTCCTCGATGGCTTCCACGATAGCTGCAAGCCCGATAATCCTTGCGCCGTCCTCCAAGCTCCCCAGGAATTTGGACTTGTACGCCAGGGCCTCGTCAGGATCGGGGCAGTTCTCCAGCATATGCGTAAGGATCGCCGCATTGTTGGAAGACCAGCCTGTTATCATCAGGAGGTTCAGCCGCATGGGGCCCGAAGGCCTGTTGATGTCCAGACCATGCTTTACATAGAGCTCAAATGTAGCAGAGGTGCCTTCTACGAAGAACCAGTAATCATTCGTGAGATTGTAACCTGCTTTCGGAAGCCATGTGTTGCCTGCAAGTCCAGAGTAAAAGCAGGCATTCCCGTCCATGCCAAGCCCGAACGCGAGGCGGAGGATGTCCTTGTTCTCTGCTGCATACATATACCAAGCATGGACAGCGTCAGCACCTGGGCTCCAGCTCATATAGTTGCAGCGTGTGTTGTAGTTCATGAGAAGGCCTGGTTTGTGCTGCAGCGAAATGAGCTTACTGGACCATCTGAAAAAATCACCTCCATGCTCAACGAGAAGCTTGGCACAATCCGCATTGTTCGACCGAACACACTGGATCAGCGGAGCGAAATCCAAATTGTTTGGCGAATTGGGATCAGCACGACTCTCGAGAAGAAGCTTCAGCTTGTCAAAATATCCAGCCTGCGCTGGTCCGGCCAGAATGCTGTTCTCCTGGCCCGTGAGATTCCAAAAAGGTCGCTTCATGGTCATCCCGACTTTGGCGTGGACGTCGGCACGGGCATTGATGAGCAGCTTCATGCACTCCAAGCCTTCATCGCCATTGTCCATGTCTGCAGCCATTGAGAGCGCGGTGCACTTCTCTGCACTCTCGGCGTTCACCGAAGCCCTGTGCATTATGAGGGCGTGCACGACCTCCACCCTGCCGCATGACGCAGCAAGCATTAAAGGAGTTAGGCCTGTTGTAGGATCCGCGAAATTCACGTCCACATCATCAGCAATACTCAACGTCCCATCCCAGGCTTTTTGCAAAGTGCCATACGGCTTGAAACCGGCCAGCTGGTCCAAGGTGCTGTTCATATCCCATGCCTTCACAAAGCCAGGGTCTTCACGCCCGCAGGCCCAGTGCCACCAAGTATTGTGAGTGATCCAGTTCATGAAATCGTAATCATTCCTATGCTCACGTAGGATGCGAACTGCCTGCCACTTCTTGCCCATGCTGGCAAGCGCGAAGAGAGAATGGCCCTCATCAGAGAGTAGGCATGGGTGGACGCCCTTAGAAAGCAATGTGTCTAAGACCTCTAAGTCGGGCAGGCTGGCCGCATGCCTCAACAATGTGCCGACGCCATCTAGGCGCCAACAATTGCTGTCAACCAGAGTTGGGACCATGACCCGGGCAAGAAAAAAATTACCATGAAACCACCTCTTGTTGCAGTCCCTGTCATCCCAGACTACATCCGTTTCGTATTCGTCCCAATGGATTGCAGCGATCATATACCCGGAACCGTCTCCCACCCAGGGCCGGTGGTCCATTGGTGTACCATGAATCGCCTTGTCAAGGATAAGATAGCCCAGAGGGTGGCTGCAGCTGAATGAAAGAGCCATGCTCCCTACCTTCAAGAGTGCACGCTCGTCCTCGGCCAAGATCGCGCAGTACTGCTCGAGAACATCTGAGTCCAGCATCTCAAAGACGTGGAACCACACTTGGAGCCACCAGCTCTCGGACAGCCGCTCGCGGTCCAAACACTGCGAACTGCTAGATAGGATGGAGTTTACGTATGCTCGCATTTTCTTCTGAGAATGAGCATGGCAAACGATCGCCGCGCAATACTCACCGCCCATCAGCTCCTGGAATGACAGGTGCGTAAGCTGCACCTCAGGCTCCGCATCGAACACTTCAACTTTCTCTAAGATGGGCATGCGCCCCTGCTGAAACGCATCCTTCAGCACCACGATCATACCATTGTCGTCTGAGGCCTGCTCTATGCCTGTCCAGGAAGTCGAACGCAGCCTCAATTGGTGCAAATGAAACGACACTGACTGGAATAGCTGTCGTGCCCGTACGCTCTTCAACATCTCTAGCCTGCGAACCATCGCTTGGTCATTGGCTCCATCCCGCATTGCGAACTTTGCAGCATCAGATTGATGCAACATGAGCTTCACAGCACGCTGGTAGATATCAGTCTTCTTCATGACATCCTTTCGTGCACGGTCATCTGTCAGTGGAAGACTCTTGCCTTCTGTACTCTGAGAGTGGAACTTCCGAAGAACATGGATGAGCAATGTCAAAATGAGGGGATTCTCCCTGAGGGAGGAATAGCCCGGGTCAGACACACTGCTTCGGATGGCGCTGATCGTCTCATGCGCTTCTTGAGCGCGTGTAAGTGTACGCTGCACAACGTCTTCAGCCTGTGGGAGAGTCAAAGCACCCATCCTGAACGAGACGAAAGCCAGCGACGCGAGCAAGTCATACTCCGAGGGTCCCAAATTACCTGGCCTCGATGTGAGAACACAGATGTGTGAGGGCTCGCTTTGCAGTATCGACCGGATGAATTCCAGCACCTGTAGCCGAGAGGAAGCTGCCTCATCCAGACCATCGAACAACAAAAACAACGCCTTGATGTCTTCTGAATGCTGGGGGTCTCCGATAGCTTTCTCGCGTGTTGCATCTTCTCCTTCCGATGCCGAAAGAACAGATGTCCTCCTGGACGCGCGGTCAGCAGCACCAAGGCACCAATTTCGCACAGTATAGACCAGCTTGTGCGGGATGGAATCGTGGCCATGCTTTCTTTGCATCCACTCGGATAGCAAGTCGCAGATCGGGTCGGCCCCCAGAGGCAGGTCCGGATTAGCCTCAAGCTGCCTAGCCAAGTCGATTAGTGGAGTCCGGACGGGGATGAGGTTCATGCCGCTGATTCTCGTGGTACCCGCCATGTCTCCTGGCTCATCGCGGATGCCGAGCAGCTGTTGCTGTGCCACTTCCGAGAAAAGCTGCTTCGTCATGAGAGTCTTCCCGCTCCCAGAATCGCCAATCACGAATACCCGACCCTGATATCTTTCTTGACTCAGCACTTCTGGTAGATACTGCTGGTGGACCATGCGCAACTTCTCGCAGACAATCTTGACGCTCTTCGGCAGCTGTAGGCTACGCGGGAAAATGCGCCCACTGAACTTCACGTCCACTTTGATACAATGGTCAGTCACGTGTACTTTCTCGCGGGTGAGGAAGTCAGTGGACCACGCCTCCGCTGTCCCAATTTGCGCCAAATACCTAGGAAAGTCAGATTCAAACTCGAAAGAAGCAACCTGCACGTGTGTCGCACTGGTACTCAGTCGGCGGCCTTTCTGGCCCTCCCAGACTGTGCGGTACTGTTCAATCCACTCCAGCGCTGTGGGTCCGACGTCAACGCCAGCTTCCCACATCACTCGCTGAGCGCCTGCAAGGGCAAAGAAAGAAGCACGGGTCTTCTGGTGCATGCTCGGCTCACTGTATGACAGCATTCGCGCCGACCACGAGAAGAAAGCTAAAGCGAATGGAACGCCGTCGTTGTCTGGGACGTCGTCACCAATCTCGTAGATGCAGAGACAGTGCCTGATGCGTGTCAGCAGCTCAAGCACAAACGTGGCCGTCGGATCGCTCTTGAGCTGCTCCCCTCCGATTAAAGGCAGCGCTGTTGTGGCATCGGGTGTAGCGAACAGCAGCTTCGCAAACGTTTGGATGTGCGACTCGTTCACATTATCCTCCAGATACAAGAAGAGACAAGACGCAAGGAATTTTGAGAGGTCCATGAGCACGTGGACGTTGTCCTTCACGGTCGCGAAATCTATCAGCCAGACTAGCCCTTGTGAGTCGAGCAGTAGATTCCCGCCGTGCAAATCGTTGTGCGCCAAGCCACAAACTATTTGCCGGTCAAACTTTTTATTGAATCGCTGCTCCTGCTCAATGAACTCTTGGAAGAAGCGCTTGATGGTAGAACGTTTGCCGCACAACTCACTGACGAACTTGCCTTCGGGATCTAGGTCATCGATGTCGGGTGGCGTCAGAAACCCGATGCCCAGTGCAGCATTGTGTTTGCTACGTTTCGCACCCTCCACAGCTCGATTGAGGATGCCGTGGCCGACAAAGCGGACAATCTTGTACATCTTGGCTAGATTCTCCTTCCTGACGGAACGCGTAGACATCGTGAAGGCAAGCATACGTCGGGTCAGGGCCTCGTTGACGATGGGCACCACATCAGTCTGGCGCTTCCCCGAAGTAAACTCACCCTGGATTACTGACGCAAAGGTGAGCACAGGTGGGGCAGAAGCAAACTCGGGAAGACCAAATATGCCACCGCATAGGTCAATCTGCATGACAGCACATGGTTCGTCTTCGGAGACGTCTTCAAGAAATTGCGAATCCTTAACTTTCGGAGTTGTCAAGCCAAACAACTTCCCATACCGCTCGGTCAACTCGATCTCCTCCTTCACGTTGGCAGCAACGTCGAATTTCAGCACTGATGACGGCATGGGTGTTCCGTCCTTGCGGCTGGGCGAGAAGAAGAAGACGGACGCGCCACTGAAACTCAAGGAGATTTGCTTGAGCTTGAACCGTGAATGCTGACGAGCCTCCCCGAGGCATAATAAGGCGCGCCTCTGATTTGCGCTCAACTTGTGCACGTCCCCCTGAAGCACAGCCTCCTCGTCTGACGCCTGCTCAGTCTGCGCCTCATTCCCATCTTCATCAGGAACGTTGTAACCCACCAGCGCCGCTTCACCTGCAGCCTTTTGCTCCACGGACTCGCTCCCAAAATCAGCTTTCCAGAAAGTCTGGCAACAATGCACGTGCTTATTCGAGTGGAGCGCAATGCCCCCAGGCCCCTTGTCCGCAACTTCACGTATAAGTACCGGGCCCGTGTACGCTTTCTGGTGAGCTGCAACACGCGCTGCCCTCGCATCAATATCCTTTTTTGGCATGTGGAGACTCATCGCAGAGAGACAAAGAGAGCTGCGAGTTTGACGGGTCGAGAGCTCAATGCCGCAGAGACTACGTGCAGCGTTGCAACGCCAAGTGGACCCAAAGAAGGCCTGAACCAGAATGGCCGTGGACATCATCAGTATCATCATTATCACCACCACCACTATCACCAGCATCATCATCATCGTCATCATCGTCATCACCGTCATCATCATCATCATCATCATCATCATCATCATCATCATCATCATTCGCCGTCCGCATCATCATCATCACCACCATCATCTCACCACCACCACCACCATCATCCTCCTCAGGGAACGCATCATCATCAGCAGCATCATCATCATAATCACAAACACCGTCACCACCATCATCATCATCATCAGCAGCATCATCAGCATCATCATCATCATCATCATCATCATCATCATCATCCTTACCATCACAATCACCATGACCATCAGCATCATCATCAAAAACAAAATCACCGTCACCACCACCAAGACCACCACAAACACCACCAAGACAACCATCACCATCACCAACAAAAGCATCATCATCAACATCATCAACAAAAGCATCATCATCAACAACAACAGCAGCATCATCATCGTCATCATCATCAGAATAAGGATCCGCATTATCATCATCGTCACCGTCACCGTCAGCAGCATCATCGTCATCATCATCAGCATCATAAACATCATCATCATCGGCAGCAGCATCATCATCTTAATCATGACCAGCATCCTCATCAGCATTATCATCGTCATCATCAACAGCATCATAATCATCATCATCACCGACATCATCATTATCATCAGGATCAATATCATCACCATCATCATCGTCGTCATCGTCATCACCATCATCAGCATCGTCATCGTCATCACTATCATCATCATCAACATCATCTGCCTCATCATGATCAGCAGCATCATCAGCATGATCTTCACAATAATCATCATCATCACCACCACCATCATCATCGTCATCATCAGCATCAGCATAATCGACATCATCAGCATCATCAGCAGCATCAGCAGCATCATCATCACAACCACCATGATCATCATCATCATAATCCTCATCATCAGCACCATCACCAGCATAATCATCATCACCAGAATCATCATCACCAGAATCATCATCACCATCATCATGGACAACAATATCAACAACAACAACATCATCACTGACCGGCCGACCGACTGACCGGGTGACCAGGTGGCCCAGCTCATGGACTGACTGGACAAAGCAGCTGACAGGTTTGGCTGACCAGTTGACTTGACTTTTTCAGGAGCGCGTTTCTTTCTTTTCGGTGATGACGGGCTTCATGGGGGGAGGGGGGGCGGGGAGGGGTATGACGTAACACTCCTCGCGAGCAGCATGCAGGTGGCGATCTGCCCCACAGCGCCTGTGCATGTGTATACCACAGCGCCTGCGTACACCGCAAAAGCCGTGTGCAACGCAGCGCCTGCGTACACCACGGTGCTTTTGTGCACCACAGCGTCGGTGTACACCACAGCGAGTGTGCACACCGCAGCAGCCATGTGCAACACAGCGCCTGTCTACACCACAATCTTTTTGTGCACCGCAGCGCCTGTTCACACCACATCGCCTGTCCACACCACAGCATCCGCGTGCAACGCAGCGCTGGTGTACACCGCGGCGCCTGCGTGCACAGGACAGGTAAAAGGAACATGGTGGTGATGATCTGCTGCGGACATCTAAACGCCACGCCAGGGAAGTGCTGAGAATAGCGACGTTTTCCCTCGTCCCTCCTCAACCTCCACATCCTCCTCTTCCTCCTCCTCCTCCTCCTCCTCTTCCTCCTCCTCCTCTTCCTCCTCGTCCCCCTTTTCCTCCTCCCTCACCCTTCCCCCCTGTCGTGCGGGTCGGCGCTACAGCGCACGTGCGCATCTCAGCGTGCACCGCAGAATGGTCGATTGAATCAATCCACTTGCCTCTTGGACGGCCAATTTAGCTGGAGCCTCCTAGACGCAAAATGGGAGGAGTAAGGATGATGCGGGCGGACTCATCATCATCATCATCATCATCATCATCATCATCATCATCATCATCAGCATCATCATCATTACCATGACAATCACCATGACCATCAGCATCATCATCACAAACAAAATCACCGTCACCACCACCAAGACCACCACAACCACCACCAAGATAACCATCACCATTACCAACAAAAGCATCATCATCATCAACATCATCAACAAAAGCATCATCATCAACAACAACAGCATCATCATCATCGTCATCATCATCAGAATAAGGATCCGCATTATCATCATCGTCACCGTCGCCATCAGCAGCATCATCACCATCATCATCACCATCATAAACATCATCATCGGAAGCAGCATCATCATCCTAATCATGACCAGCACCCTCATCAGCATTATCATCGTCATCATCAACAGCATCGTAATCATGATCATCATCATCATCATCATCATCATCATCATCATCATCATCATCATCATCGACATCATCATTATCATCAGGATCAATGTCATCATCATCGTCGTCATCGTCATCACCATCATCAGCATCGTCATCGTCATCACTATCATCAACATCAACATCATATACCTCATGATCATCAGCAGCATCATCAGCATGATCTTCACAATAATCATCATCATCACCACCACCATCATCATCGTCATCATCAGCATCAGCATAATCGACATCATCATCATCAGCAGCATCATCATCACAACCACCATGATCATCATCATCATAATCCTCATCATCAGCACCATCAGCAGCATAATCATCATCACCAGAATCATCATCACCAGAATCATCATCACCATCATCATGGACAACAACATCGAAACAACAACAACAACAACAACAACAACAACAACAACAACAACAACAACAAGAACAACAACATCATCACTGACCGGCCGACCGACTGACCGGGTGACCAGGTGTCCAGCTGAACGGCTGACTGGGTGACCAGCATCACCAGCTGACAGGTTGACTGGCTGACCAGTTGACTTGCTTTCCAGGAGCGCGTTTCTTTCTTTTCGGTGATGACGGGCGGGCGACATGGGGGGAGGGGGGCGGGGAGGGGTATGACGTAACACTCCTCGCGAGCAGCATGCAGGTGGCGATCTGCCCCACAGCGCCTGTGCATGTGTATACCACAGCGCCTGCGTACACCGCAAAAGCCGTGTGCAACGCAGCGCCTGCGTACACCACGGTGTTTTTGTGCACCACAGCGTCGGTGTACACCACAGCGAGTGTGCACACCGCAGCAGCCATGTGCAACACAGCGCCTGTCTACACCACAATCTTTTTGTGCACCGCAGCGCCTGTTCACACCACATCGCCTGTCGACACCACAGCATCCGCGTGCAACGCAGCGCTGGTGTACACCACGGCGCCTGCGTGCACAGGACAGGTAAAAGGAACATGGTGGTGATGATCTACTGCGGACAGCTAAACGCCACGCCAGGGAAGTGCTGAGAATAGCGACGTTTTCCCTCGTCCCTCCTCCACCTCCACATCCTCCTTTTCCTCCTCCTCCTCCTTCTCCTCCTCCTCCTCCTCCTCCTCCTCCTCCTCCTCTTCCTCCTCGTCCCCCTTTTCCTCCTCCCTCACCCTTCCCCCCTGTCGTGCGGGTCGGCGCTACAGCGCACGTGCGCATCTCAGCGTGCACCGCAGAATGGTCGATTGAATCAATCCACTTGCCTCTTGGACGGCCAATTTAGCTGGAGCCTCCTAGACGCAAAATGGGAGGAGTTAGGATGATGCGGGCGGATTCCGGAGGACTCATTGATTCCAGCGGCGCTCCTGTTCCCTGAGGGATTATTTTCCAAATTTTGTGGAAAACATTTTTTGTTAAATTCACAAGCGCCCCATGTTGTCATAAGGATTACTTATGTAAAAAATGTATCTGCAACAGCGGTGTTTTGTTGCACACGGTTGCTGAAATGCACACAGTCGGCGTGGTGCACACAGGCGCTGTAGTGCGCGCAGGAACTGTGATACACTGGTACTGTGTTGCACACGGCTGATGTGGTGTACGCAAGCGCTGTGGTGTACACAAGCGCTGTGGTGCCCGCAGGCACTGTGGCACACATTGGCGCTGTGTTGCGCGCGGCTGCTGTGGTGCACATACGCGGCGTGATGTACACAAGCGCTGTGGTGTACGCAGGTACTGTGGTTTACACAGGCGTTGTAATGCAGATCGCCACCGACATGCTGTTGCTGACCGTCCTCGGTCATTCTTGGACATTCCCAGACGCCGCCGGCGCGAAATATGACGTGATCGGCCCCGTCCCCCACACCCCCAGATGATTGCCGCCATCGGCCTGGGATCACAGAACAGGCTCCAGCCGCGCCCGCCCGCCGACGACGATGAGCGACGAGCGACGAACGACAAGCGAAAACGACGACGACGATGACGACGACGACGACAACGACGACGACTGCGGACCAAATTCCGATGCGGATTCCTATGCGGACACCTATGTGGATCTCGATGCGCACGGCGGCAAACCGGCTGACCAGTTGACCAGCTGACCTGCTGACAAGCTGACTGGCTGACCTGTTGACTGGCTGACCGGCTGACCGGGTGGCCCGCTGACCGGATGACCGGGTGGCCCGCTGACCGGCGACTGGCGAGATGAACTCGCGGGCGCGCATGGGGCGATCGCGCCCCCTCCTCCTTGCAACCGGGGCACTCCCAGTGGATCGGAACGATGTGAGGATAGAGGATAGTGGCACGTTGCCTGATCGAGGAGCATATGCCCACATGTTGCGCTTGCACGCCTTGCATGTGTAGCGCGCTCTCGGCTGCCACTCCACGTCTGATTTCGACCCCCGTGGCTCGAGAGGCCACTGTTGGCAAGCCTACTGACGGACGTCGCACTCACAAGCACAAATCGCGAGGTGCGGGGGCCTCAGACGGCGGCGTGAACTCACGACGCCCTGGACGAGTCGTCCGGCCATCTTCCATGGCCAGATTGGGGCGTCGAAGCTATCGCGGCCCTCGACGTGGACGCGGGAGCGTTTGCCTGGGCATCTGAAGTTCGCGAACTGCTCGAGGATGACCGGAGCTTCGGAGACCAGCCCGATGGTTTTCATCAAGATGCCCCCGCGACGATCTCGAAGACCAAACTGACATCTGGGCAAAGATGACCACGTCCGCGCCTCGGGCTACCAGCACCTCTGGCAATGGCGACCCGTCGTGCAGTTACGATGGCCCAGGCTGCTCGTTGACGACGCAGCCGCCTAACTCTAGCTGCAGCAGCGCAAGGCATCCGCAGAATAGGCGAGGCGTGGCCGCGTCCTCGTAGAGGCGCAGTCAGGCGCGGCAGTTCTGCTCGCAGTTGAAGTGGGCCCATTGGCCGAAGGGGCTGCAGGCTGGAGCCATGATGGCTACTAGTGACCGACGTTGTCTATCATATATGTCCACGGCCCGCCGCTGGCACTCGCAGCTAAGGTCACAGCCAGTGACCAAGTCGAAGTTCCTGCCAGCTCTACGGCGGCGGCGGACTACCAGTCTGCTAGTTCGCGCCTTTCCACCACAAGTCTCGATGATGTCGACGCCGTGGTCGACAGCTGCGAGGCGGGCGGGGAGCTGGCGAGCGGCGTGGATTTCGGTGGACTGCGGCGTTCGAACACCAGCCGTTCGGTGGTCAGCCGCCGGCACCAGGGCCGGCGAGCCTCGGAAACACCACGTGGGCAAACCTGCGGCAAGGTTGCCACGGTGGCCGCCCTCATCGCACATGCCCACGCAGCCTGGATCGCCCAAGGCTGGATGGCCGAGAGGACAAGGGGCTAACCCAGCGGGGTCGGCGCCGCATTCGCCGCAGCGTCCTCGGCGACCTGCTCGCGCGCCTTGTGCACATGGGCCTCCTTTATCCTCTTCTTGTGGCGCGCGCGCTCTGCCGTCGGGCAGGCGCCGGCGACGCATTCGCCAGACCCCCCCCCCGTGACCGGTCGTGCTTGAGGACCTGGGTGTCTTAGGTTTTTGAGCGTACGCGGCCCAGGGTGCGCCGCTGGGCATCGTGCTTGCGGTCCGCCACAGGATTGGAATACGTGTTCGAGTCTGGCGAGCAAGCTGCCGTCGCGCCTCGTTGAAAGCGCACACTCCTCGACGCGCATCTGCGAGGTGCATCACAATTGCAGCGAGGTGAAGTCGAAACAGTCCGCGGCAAATCAGGGCCGCAAACACTCGTCGGTGGACGATCGCCGCGTCGTCGACGAGCTCCACCAGACTGACGTTGCATCGGCGCAGCTGGCAGCAGATTGGCGCCCCGGCGAGCACAATAATACAACGCTGGCGCGTGGGCCAACGGCTCGCGACAAGCCCGACGCTGGCCCGCGACGGAACAAGCGGGCGTCGATCATCCGCCGCGCCACTTGTCGTCTCCAGGGTTGGCCACGCTAGCCAAAGCCCTAGACCCTGGCGCACTTGTTAGGGAGAAGGAGTCGAGGATGAGACGAGCCTCGCCCCTGAATGCTTCGCGCGTAACCCGCCGCATGCAGCAGTCGGCGCCGGGGAACGCGCTGTCGAACAACGGATTTCTGGCCCCCTCGAAGTCCGCGGCGCGGAAGGCGTCGAAGCCGCGGTCTCGCCGCGCTAGCGACGCGCCCCGCTCTCGTTCTAGGGCCCAGGCGGGGCGCCCAGGTCGCGCCGCCCACTCCTGCCAGGGCAAGTCGGCGGGGTCAGCCTGGAGGGCCGGCCGGGCCACTTCCCGGCGAGGCAGCCCCTTGGGGAAATCGTCGCCACAGGCACCGAGAGACCCCGCCTAACTGGCCACCGGGTAGATCGGCGCTCGCCAGGTAGAACGGCGACTCGCTCCCTGAACTCGCGCACGCGCCCGACGAAGTCCGCCACCACGGGGGCGTTGGTCTGCGCGTCGGCAAGCGCGCGTCCAGGCGGTCGCCCCAGGGCACCGCTTGCAGTCGCGCTGTGCCAGGGAGATATGTTTTTCTTGAAAACCGAAAATGGTTTTTCAATCGGCCTTCAAATAGGATTTGCAGAAAAAAAAAAAAATCAACCATAAAAAATAAAAAAAAATAAAAAATAAAAAAAAAATGCTTCAAATACAATTCAAGTAGGTCAAACATTTGTTTCCCAAGGGGGCGTCGTAGTTCATCAGCCCACATTTTAGCTTTGATAAGAATCATCTCCCTCTGGCACACTAAACTTGATAGTTGCGATGGCATCTCGAGGGTCTCTTCGGGGTCCTCGCGGAAGCCCTCTAGGGGCATGTGGGGAATCTCTGTGGCCACCCTAGCGCAGCCGTCGGCGGCCTTCTTGGGGCCGTGTTGGGCCGTCTTGAAGGCCATTCTGGTTGTGTCCGAACCCACGCCCCCGCTCCGCGGCAAACCCTGGGGGGGCCCTGGGGGGGCGGGAAATGTTGTCACTGACGCAGCGCGCCTTCGGAACAGCAGAATGCCTAAAGTATGTAGGGCACGCACTCACAATGCCACGGCCCCTCATAGAGCACGCTGGATCCGCACCCCCGTCGCCACGACCCCTTGTAAATTGCACAGGATCCGCACTTCCAAGGCCACGCCCCTGCGCATATTAGAACGAAACCTTGAGATTGCTAGCAGCACCGAGTTTCACCAGGCATCCTTCCGAACCACGTTTGGGGAGACAACGACGCACCAAGAAACACGCGCCATGCATGCTATGGGGCGCGTGTGCCCTGATACGCTGCAATAATTGTCCCTCGCATTCCTCTTCCTCCTCCTCCTCCTCGTCCTCCTCCTCGTCCTCCTCCTCCCCCCCCCTTCTTCATCGTGCCCTTCTTCCCCTCGACTTCCAACTCCTCCTCGTTCTCCTCGTCCTCGTCCTTCTCTTCCTGGTTTTCCTCCTCCTCCTCGTCCTCCTGGTATCCTCCTCTTCTCCTCGTCGTCGTCCTCCTCCTCCCCATCCTCGTCATCCTTCTCTTCCTGGTTATCCTCCTCCCCCCCCTCCTCGTCCTTCTCCTGGAGGGGGAGGGCAGGGGAGGGGGATGGGGGGGGGCAGAGGAAGGGGATGCAGGGAGGGGAAGGGGAAGGGAAACTGAAGGGAGGGGAGGGAGAGGAAGGGGGAAGGAATGAGGGAGGACCGAGAGGACATATCCAAAAGAAAGGACAGGCGAGACGGCCGTAGCGATGGTGATGTTGGTGATGATGATGATTGCGTCCTAGATGTTAGGTTATTGGTTTGTGTAGAGTCGGTGACTTGTTTGCTTGATGGTTGTTTGATGTGTTTGATGTTTGTGTGATTGCTGATGTTTTGTTTCTTCAGCCTGTGTTCGACAGGCAAGACAGATGCACGACCGAGCCGCATTTGTCAAGCCATCTCCTGTGCGAGAGCAACCACGTGCAACCTGATATCTGATATCATCCATTTTCTCACTCATGTACACCATATATCAAATAAAATTCTGCATAACGGAGGCCTCTTCCATGGCGAGCTGCACTGGCTCGAACAGTTTTTCCAAAACCCCAGCTCTGCCTGTTCTTTTCCACAGTCATGAAATATGTCTTGAGTACCACAGCGTTGCCCTTGATTTTGCTCGCTCCGTACACAACTGCGTACTCGAGCACCGTCGTCGCAGCACGCTGCAAGTTTGCCAGGGCGAGGTCCACCTCGGCGCTGTTAGTCACGTCGATGCTGAACTTTGTAGTGAGAGCGCCGAGTTGATTCTTCAACTGCATGTGCGCTTCGACCTCAGCCTTGAGGGGGTCGTGGGGCATGCTCTTGAGGAAGTCACCCGCCATGTCAAGCAAGGCGTCGAATGCAATCGAAGGGCTGACCCCGTCGCGCCAGCCCTTGTCCAGTAAACCACCCTTGAGCTTGCTCAGAAGCACGCTCACGCTCTCAGACAGGAGCATCGCCTCCAGCACAGCCCGTTTCGCGCCGAAGAGTGCGTGCTTGAGGGCCGCCGACTCTGCCGCCAGCGTCTCCATGAACGTGTCATCCACTGCAGCTGCATCGTCCTCGGGGGTCGCCTCTTTCAATGCCTCGTACTGCGTGAGCAGGCCCAAGGAAGCATCAGCTGAGTGATCGGGGGCAGTGGCGGCGTCAGCGTCAGAGAAGTCGCTGCTCGGATCTTGTGGCACGATGGTCGCCATTGCCCCCGCTAAAGTCCTTGCCAACTTCGCTCTGCCAACCAACTGCTCGAAGGACTTGAAACCAGACCCCACAGGAGAGACGCATGACCACTCCAGCCATGCGCTTGCTGTAGAAACCCACCTGAGCGAAGAATCGAACAGCGGACCACGAGAGACATCGAGGAGTTGCTCCTCTTATTTGTGACCCACTCCACTGCCTGTTTCGTGAAAGATATGAACTGCTGCATGGGCGGCTCTGGAACTAGATCCTTCAGGCCCTCGATCTTGTCAAACTGAGACAATCCAAAGACGAGGACGACTAAGTTGAACACCCCGAGCTTACCGCAGAAATGCATGACGAGGTTCTTCCCATTATTATGAGACCTGCAAGAGTTGATCGTACCAACTGCCTCAGACCAGGCCGAGTGAAAACCGAAGGTGACAGCCGCCTTCTTCGAAAGAGCCTCTACATTATCACTGAACTCGTCGGTTGCCTCGTGCGGGTTAGCATTCACATGGGCACCGATGTGATCGAAGAAGCGGCCCATGGCACCGCGCGATACCTGGAAGAAGGAGCTGCACTCCACCTCTGGGAGCACCGCTTTGATGATGGGCAGATCCTTCATGATGCTACTGAGGGTCTTGTAAGTCGGCGGTTCCTCGGGCTGCAGGGCTGCCGAATGTTTACTCATGATAGGGCGCCACGTCTTCACCTCGGGAGAGAACTTCAAGTAGTCCTTGAGCTTTCAGCTTCCAGTACGGCTCATTCGACACGACGGCGTAGACGGCGCCCTCGACTGTAGTGGATTTAGATTTGCCCAGCTGCGCCACTGCCGCCAGGTTTAGCGTATCTTCGGCCTGCTGCCCAAGCGTATTCATCAGCTGCAATATCGTTACGACCTCAGCAGCAGCGTTATCGACTTCGATCTCGCAGGTCATCGGCATCGCCTTGATTTCGCCCATCGCAGCGGCAACGGGCTCCATGGTCTTCTGGTGCCCATCCTTCCCGAGGTGCAAGAAGCGCGAAAGGAGGATCTTGCACAGGTAGCCCTTGAATTTCGCAGCCTTCTCTGGAACAGAAAGAGCCATCAACGCTAGAGTCGGGGCCGCGCACTCGAACTTAACAACATTCTCAACGTCCCCGATCTCGCGAGGCCACGGCAAACACATAGCGATCGCATGTCCTGGCTTGGATGCCCAATCCTGGTCGTTCTTCCAGTCCTCGAGCGCCCTCTCCCGCAACGCGCGCTGGAACCCCGCGGGGACTGTGGGGACGTTCTTGTCGATGTCATCTGCGAGCTTCGCCAACTCGTCGCCGTTTATCGTCCTGATGATCTTCGCATTCTGGTCGCCAGCAACCTTGCACCTCTCTGCTAGGTTCAACCACGTCGAAGCCACACTGTGGTCTGGATCATCCGCATGCTTGCTCACGTTGTCCCTGTGCTGGCGCACCGTGTGCCCCACCTTCTTCCCCGCCAGCAATCTGTGGATCTTGCAATTGTGCATAGCGTGCCTTCGGTCGGTGGTCCAGCTCGATTTTCAGGGCTGCTGGGTACACTAACTTATGTTCCCCCCGTTCGTTTAAGCTTGGTACGGGGTCGGGGCCGTCACCCCGCTGACGTTTTACACAGGTGGCTTAAATTGGGTATGGGACCTTATGTATTGCATTGCACACGTACGTTTACATGCACACGCGTAATGCATTAATATTTTAAGTGTGCGTGCCGTGTTTTAGTTATGTTGTGTGATACCTTATTGTATGTTTTTTTTTTCAATGTACCCTTGCATCCCAGAAAACCTGAGCTTGGACCAAGAAGCCCTCGCCGTCCTCGTCTCCTTGTCCGTTCCCTCCGACCCCTCCTCCATGGCCTCGCCATCGTCAAAGCTGCTGGCCTTCACGCTGGAGACCACCGAGCCACCGCCACAAGCACCACCAGGCGAGGAGCCCTCGAGCTGCGACAGAGCAGTCGCATTCATCTTCACAGGCGTGGAGGCTGGCGGGCCCCTGGGCTCGCCTGGGTCGGTCGCCTTGTGGACGCTCGCCGCCTCCGTCGGCCCTGCAGCCGCAGCCCCATCGGCCAAGGCCACCACCGATTCCGAAGATGGCCCCGACGGCGGCAAACTCGGCGGCGCTGAACCCGAACTCCTGGACTTGAGGGCCTCGTTTTTTGCCGCGATTTCCTCGACCGTCGCCTTGTCATGGGTCCTACACAGGATGCCCTCGTGAGTGGGCGCGTTGAAGAGAGCCCTGAGGTCCGCGCAACGGTTATCAATCAAGGACTGCATGTGGATAGCGCCCTGCTGGGGGGACAATCTCCGACCTGTAGGCATCGCCAGCATGGAGTGGTTGAGCCCCCTGCGGCGGTAGATGTTCACGACGGTGCGCGGCTGGCCAGGGCCCACCTGCACGAAGACGTTCCTGAGGGCGCCGCTCTGGTCCAATGCTCGTGGGCTTCATGTCGATCTCGCTCGGCGGCTTCTTGTAGTAAGCGATCACGTCGCTCTCCTTCAGTCAACGGAACGAACAGACCGTGTCCTCGAAAAGGCCAGATTTCTCCCCCACACTCCCTTCGGACTCCATCTCTGGTTTCACGCCGCCTTGCTTGTGCAGAATGTGGTGCGAGTTGTCAAAGCCAGCCTTCACTTTCTCGTTGCTGCGGCACTGGTCGGTCAGCGTGCCCCAGCCCCAAAAAGGGAACGCGAACTTGTGCGTCCCAGAGCACTTCCCGCACTTACACGCTGTCTCCATGGCATTCGTCTTCTCGCCGCAGATGCCGCAGCCGATATTGGGTTTCTTCTTGGGAGGTTTCCCGTCGACGGGCTGGGGCGGCAGTCCGAACTCCTGCTTCGGGCCGATCTGGCAGCCTCTTTTCCCAGCGCCCTTCGAAACGAAGATGGGGCCTGAGATGGCGCGGAGGCCGCAGATCGGCGGCGGCCCCTCCCCATCATCTGGATCGTCCTTTCGCTTCCTCTTGGGAGCCATCGAGAAGACGAGACACTCTCTGACAATCTCACATGACGATGTTCGATCACAAATGGCTGTGGAGAACAACGGGTCTGGAAACATTGGTGCTTGACCGTTCCCCGTTCGCTGGGGCAGTAGTTGGGCCATCTGTCAAGACCAAGGAAAGACATCCCCTCAACTGAGATTCCCACATTCGCAACTCAAGTAAGGGTTTCCGCTGGCAAACAGGACACGACAGGGAAAGACACAGTTGCAGTGCAATGCATTCGCAAGCCATGCAACAAGCAACGCAAGCTGTGCAATTTAATGTTGGTGTTATATCCTATCGCCCTATCGCTATCTCCTAAGATTGTTCCCCAAAGATGGCCCCTCCAAGATGGCTCCACCAAGAGGCCTCCACCAAGACGGCTCCACCAAGAGGCCTCCACCAAGACGGCTCCACCAAGAGGCCTCCCCCTAGATTCTCCTTTCACACAAAAAAAAAAACAAAAAAAAAAAAACTCCCCCCCCCCCCCCCCCCCCCGGACTTAACGCTTCCCCCTTGGATAACATAGATTCATCTACATATATATATATAAATATTATGCACACTCGTCCATCCTAAATATGAAGCCATACCATCCCAGGCAGGCCGGCATCCCCCCCCGTGAAGGTCCCTTGTAAACAAAAACTATGCGGTGACATTTGTTGCTCTAACATAACACTTGTTCGCGAATCCTTTGCCAAAAAAAAACAAAAAAAACAAAAAACAAAAAAAAAAACGAAGTGCACACACGCGCGCGTCGTCGCGAGCGCATGCCGAAATCCTTCAAAAACCTTCGGTGCCGGAAGGATTTCGCAATCGAGTTTCCAAAAAAAAAAAAAACATACAAAAACACATGGTTTCGCAACACTGATGTGCTAAAAAAACTTCCGCGAAAGCTCTTGCAAAATCATAAGAAAACCCTAGGTTTTTCAAACTTGCATAAAATGTTACCAAACGGGCTTCGCGCGCGCGCATGTCGAGATCTGTCGAACGCCCTTGCGCGTGTGCCGTCGCGAGAATCCTCTGCAAAAAATGGGACGAAGCGCAGACGCGCGCGTGGTCGCGCGCGCACGCCGAAATCCTTCAAAACCCATCGGTGTCGGAAGGATTTCGAAATCGCGCGTCCACAAAACCTACAAAAACCCTTAGTTTCGCAACATGGATTTTCAAGAAAAGCGTGCGCGCGCGCTCTTGCGTCGTCGTCGTCGTCGTCGCCGTCCCCCCTCCTCCCGCGTCGTTGTCGTCGTCGTCGTCGCCTACGTCGTCCTCTGTCTTTCCTCGTGTTCGTCGTTGTCGTCCTCTTTGGCGTCGTGGTCGTTTCCGTCGTCGTTGTCGCCGTGGTCGTCCATCCTCCTCCTCCCTCGTCGTCGTCGTCGTTCGTCGTCGGCGTCTCGTCGTCGTCCTTCCTATTTCGTCGCCGTCGTCGTCGTCGTCGTTCTTGTCGTCGTCGTCGTCTTCCCTCCTCCCTCGTCGTTGCCGTCGTCGGCGTCGCCGCCCTTCCTCCTTCTTCGTCGTTCGCGTCGTCGCCGTCCTCCCTCCTCCCTCGTCGTTGTCGTCGTTGTCGCCGTTGTCGCCGTCGTCGTCCTCCCTCCTCCCTCGTCGTCGTCTTCGTTGGCGACGTCGTCGTCGTCTTCGTCGTCGTCGTCGGCGTCGGCGTCGTCGTCGTCTTCGTCGTCGTTGTCGGCGTCGTCGTCGTCGCCGCCGTCGTCGTCGTCGTCGTCGTCGGCGTCGTTGACGTCGTCGTCGTCGTCGGCGTCGTCGTTGTCGTCGTCGTCGGCGTCGTCGTCGTCGTCGTCGTTGTCATCGTCGTCGTCGTCGTCGGCGTCGGCGTCGTCGTCGTCGGTGTCGTCGTCGTCGTCGTTGTCGGCGTCGTCAAAATCGTTGGAGACGTCGTCGGTGTCGTCGTAGTCGTTGTCGGCGGCGTGGTCGTCGTCGTTGTCGCTGTCGTCGTCGGCGCCGCTGTCGCTGCCAAGTGCAATTTGGCACCCACCGTCACGGTCTTAAGAGATTTTGCAAACCAAGTTGCGGGTGGGTGGGTGGGATGTTTGCGCGAGCAATGGAGTGGTCAAGCGCGGTGCAGGGTAGTCAATTACGCCACATAGATTTTCCTTTGTAAAAAGAGAATAGGCTCTACCCCCCCCCCGGACTTATCGGTCCCCCCTGGGATAATATGATTATATATATATATATATATTCTGTACAGTCGTCCATCCTAAATATAAAATCATTCCATCCCAGCCAGGCCGGGTTCCCCCCCTGCGGTTCCCTTGCTGTTTATATTATCCTATACATATACATATAAAATATGCGGTGATATTTTTGTTTCTAATATAACACTTTTTCGCGAATATCTTGCAAAACATGAAACGAAGTGCACGCGCGCGCGTCGTCGCGCGCGCATGCCGAAATCCTTCAAAAACCTTCGGTGGGGAAGGATTCCGCAATCGAGTGTCCAAAAAACATACAAAAACACAGGGTTTCGCAACACAGAGTTGCTAAACAAATGTCCGCGAAAGCTCTTGCGAAATCTTAAGAAAACCATTGGTTTTTCAAGACTTTCATAAAATGCTACCAAACGGGCTTCGCGCGCGCCCATGTCGAAATCTGTCGAACGCCCTTGCGCGCGTGCCGTCGCGAGAACCCTCTGCAAAAAAACGGGACGAAGCGCAGACGCGCGCGTCGTCGCGCGCGCATGCCGAAAACCTTCAAAACCCATCGGTTTCGGAAGGATTTCGAAATCGCGCGCCCAACAAAAAAACTACAAAAACACAAGGTTTCGCAACACAGATGTTCAACAAAAGCGTGCGCGCGCTCTTCGTCGTCGTCGTCGTCGTCGCCGTCCTCTCTCCTCCCGCGTCGTTGTCGTCGTCGTCGTCGCCTACGTCGTCCTCTATCTTTCCTCGTGTCCGTCGTCGTCGTCCTCTTTGGCGTCGTGGTCGTTTCCGTCGTCGTTGTCGCCGTGGTCGTCCTTCCTCCTCCTGCCTCGTCTCGTCGTCGTCCCTTCTATTTCGTCGCCGTCGTCGTCGTCGTCGTTCTTGTCGTCGTCGTCGTCTTCCCTCCTCCCTCGTCGTTGCCGTCGTCGGCGTCGCCGCCCTTCCTCCTTCTTCGGCGTTCGCGTCGTCGCCGTCCTCCCTCCTCCACCGTCGTTGTCGTCGTTGTCGCCGTCGTCGTCCGCCCTCCTTCCTCGCTGTCTTCGTTGGCGACGTCGCCGTCGTCTTCGTCGTCGTCGTCGGCGTCGGCCTCGTTGTCGTCTTCGTCGTCGTCGGCGTCGGCGTCGTCGTCGTCGCCGCCGTCGTCGTCGTCGTCGGCGTCGTTGACGTCGTCGTCTTCGTCGGTGTCGTCGTTACCGTCGTCGTCGGCGTCGCCGGCGTCGTCATCGTCGTCGTCGTCGGCGTCGGCGTCGTCGCCGTCGTCGTCGTCGTCGGCGTCGCCGTTGTCGTCGTTGTCGGCGTCGTCGAAGTCGTTGGAGACGTCGTCGGTGTCGTCGTGCTCGTTGTCGGCGTCGTCGTCATCGTCGATGTCGCCGTCGTCGTCGGCGTCGTTGTCGTTGCCAAGTGCCATTTTGCATCCACCGTCACGGTCTTAAGAGATTTTGCAAACCAAGTTGCGGGTGGGTGGGCGGGGTGTTCGCGCGAGCAGCGGGGTGGGCAACTCACTGCGAACATAAATTAGGTCCACCACCTAGGTTGCACCACATCGGTTGCGTCACATAGAGATTGACGTCGGTCCACTCTGGCTGGCACTGATGACGGCGAAGACGACAAGGACGACAGAGACGAGGACAAGAGCGACGACGACGACGATGACGACATGAACCGTGGACGACGACGACGACGACGACAATGCTGAGGCGCAGGAGACGGCACCACGATACCATCATTCGTTTACGCGCGCAGGAACTTCGCGCAATGTTGCCGCTCTGTCACTGGTGGCCGCCAGGAAAAACAAAGTAACGAGTATGAGTCAAACTCAGACTGCTGCAAACACCTCATGCTCATACTGCACCAAAGCGCGCACGAGGCCAAACTAAACAGTGGATATGGAACCATCGCCTCTCCGTTTGTTTATCCTCCCTCCGACCCTACGTTCCCCATTCCTCCTCGGTTCCTCCTCGGTGCTACTCACTTCTCGCTCCTCATTCCTCCTGCCTCATGTCTCCACCCATCGTTTACTCAGTCCTCAGTCCTCCTCACCCTTCATTTCGAACCTATCTTCTGCTTACCTACGCGCCTCAACCAAAGAGTCCTCCTGGAACTGCGCGGCGGGGGCAGAGTCTTCCCCAAAGGGCGGCTGGGCGCCGCCCCCGCGCAGCGCATCATGCAACTCTGCCTGCATAGCGGGGCTCGCCACGGGGCCGAACGCCGAGGCCCCACACACGGGGGTCCTAGAAAGGCCGCCGCTGCCGAAGACCCTCGAGGCCAACCTGGGACGAGAGCTGGTTGAAACATTGACGTTTGCGTTCTCTTGGTCCAATAAAGAGGCGCCCGCAAGCTGAGACTCTACGACTGTGGGCGCTGCTACTGCTGCCGCAGCCTGATGCCCCAGGGGTGGCCCCACTGGCAACAATGGGGTCGGACTCCCGGCTGCTGGCCGGGGGCTCGGCGCGACGTCGGCAGGCGGCACAACTGCCACAGACGGCTGCACTGGAGCAGGGTGCGCGCGCACGGCCGAATCTAAAGACTGCTGAAAAGGCAAAGCCTGCGACCAATTTTTGGCAGCATCATGTCTTACAGGCCCTGTGACCGATGCGCCAATGAACTCAACTTATGATGAACCCTCTCCGTCGTCACCTGTCTGTTGTTTATCGAGAACTCATGACGCCTCTGCGTCGCCAACTGCCGTAAGTTGTTGCTTTGAACGCAATGATGATGCGGCGGCCTCCTGGATGCGCTGCCTGGACACGAATTTGATCTCAGCTGTAATATGCAACTTCTGGTGGCCCTCGAGGTGATCGGGAAGATCGTCTATGACCACCTCAAGCCTCAACGTGGAC